TGGTATGTAGTCTATCAATTTATGATAATGATGCTTTGTATATACATCACCCTGATGACGCATCCATTCTAAGCATAACCATTCTGGATTATTACCTCTGATCAGACAGAAGAATAACATTGAAAAACACTTTTTCATTAAAATTTAGAAATATTTTCCAAAAGTATCCTGATAGGCCTATTATGACTGGCAAGTAGGCCTATTTAGTAATAAACACATCTAATGGAACAGTAACAGAAAGAGAGAAATAGTGAAAAGTATTATTTACAAAGTTTACATATTTAAAGACCAAACCCTAACATTCAAAAATACTAACTTCAACAAAAATAATTAAAATTACAATCCTTAAAATTGCAATTCTTAAAATTATTATAATCAAATCAAATACGAAATTAAAAGCCTCAAAATAAATGCCAAAATTTTGAGTTTTTTTTTTTCTAGGTTTTACCACCACAAACTAGTCAATATCTCAAATTAAGAATTAAATTAAGAATGCTTTAGCCCTACATTAATCATTACTCAAATTACTTATTTTTTTTAACCAATTTTGTTATCAAAAGATAAAAACAAAACCCTTACAATAGTTCAGCCTTCAAAATTACTCACAGAATTTTAAAAAATCTTTCTTTTTGTCTTCACTTTTAAATTTTAAAATTTTAGAGAGGGTCGGCCAGCTGGGCTATGAGCTAACAAAAAAATAACATTACCATGGACCTCTTACACATTATTAAAAGATCCATTGTATGTAATCAATCAATTTATGATAATGATGCTTTGTATATACATCACCCTGACGACGCATCCATTCTATGCATAACCATTCTGGATTATTACCTCTGATCAGATAGAAGAATAACATTTAAAAACACTTTTTCATTAAAATTTAGAAATATTTTCCAAAAGTATCATGATATTATGACTGGCAAGTAGGCCTTTTAGTAATAAACACGTCTAATGGAACAGTAACAGAAAGAGAGAAATAGTGAAAAGTATTATTTACAAATTTCACATATTTAAAGACCAAACCCTAACATTCAAAAATACTAACTTCAACAAAAATAAATTAAAATTACAATCCTTAAAATTGCAATTCTTAAAATTATTATAATCAAATCAAATAAGAAATTAAAAGCCTCAAAATAAATGCCAAAATTTTGAGTTTTTTTTTTTCTAGGTTTTACCACCACAAACTAGTCAATATCTTAAATTAAGAATTAAATTAAGAATGCTTTAGCCCTACATTAATCATTACTCAAATTACTTTTTTTTAAAACCAATTTTGTTATCAAAAGTCTAGATATAATTACTGCATATACACTCACTAACCTCATGATTAGGACTCATAATTTTGATTCAATTAAAAAAAATGAACTTGAGCAAGAAAATATTTATACAAATCATCAAATATAATTAAGTTAAATGATTCGTTATACTGTAATCATACTAGATTAGCATAATCTATTCAAATGGATTAATTATTAATAATAAATAATTATTTCTCAAATCCACAAACCATCATCACGTTTTGATTATAACATCACAAATGCTTAAACTGCAAAGCACTGACTACTGTTACGCCATGATTATTCATTGTTAAAATAAATAAGATAAAATAGAAAAATTTTCAGATAAACAACCAGGATAATAGGAAACTTGATCCATTTTCACTTCGTTGTTCATTGACAAGTGTTGTATAAGCCTGCATTAGCCTTATAATGATAGCCAAGTATAGCTTCTTCTATACTGTTCATTTTTGCATTATATAAGCCTGCAATGCACCTTAAAGGAAATGCCTTGTACAGCTCCTTCTATATTATTTCACATGAGTATTGGCCTTATAGCATAACCTTGTCCGGCTTCTTCCATTCTAGAATGTATCAGTACAACTCATCCCTTATTATTCCCAACAAACCCTTTCATTAAAATTCCTTGTGGGTAAGCCTTCTCTGTTTTCCAGCTGAGCTTTCTGAGTCATTTTAAGGGTAATAAACTCAGCTAAAATGAATTAAAATAAGATACAGTAAAATATCTATGTTTGTCGCAGGTCTAAAATATTACTCATATAATATTTTTTTTAAATATATTATTGCGAACCTGAATTTGTGTGTCTATACACATTTGGGTTTTTTAATAAATCAAAAAAATGCATAACTATTTGACCAAAGAATTCAAATGTAATTCTAGATATGGTATTGCATTTGACATTTATTTTTGCAAGTGTACAAACAATAAATTTATTTTTTTTTTGTTAGTTTTTTCAATGTGAGAATTCAATTCTAGTTCTAGTATAACATGCAGAGATATTCCCCAGAACCTATTAAAAAAAGCTGTTGAAAGGTAAGTGAAAAACGCTACCAACACTATTTTGACAAGTGTACGAACGATAAATTTTAAGTTTTTTTTATGTGAGAATACAATTCTACGCCTTGTATAATCATGCAGAGGTATTCCCTGGAAAAATCTGCTTGTAAACAATGGACAAACAATTAATTTATCTAAAACCAAACCCTTACAATTCAAAATTACTAACTTCAACATAAAAATAATTAAAATTAAAATCCTCAAAATTGCAATTCTTAAAGTATTTATAATCAGAATTATAATTCCAGAAAATTAAAAACCTCAAAATAATTGCCCAATTTTTACTTTTTTTTCTAGGTTTTAAAACAAATAGTAGCCAATATCTAAATTAAGATTGATTATAATATCACAAAATGCTTAAACTGCAAAGGATCCTACTATTGTTATGCCATGATTATTCTTTGTTAGAATAAATAGATAAAATACAAAAATGTTTATATTTATAACCAGGGTAGTAGTGAACTCGGTCAATATTTATTATGTTGTTCATTGACAAATATTGTATAAAGCCGGGAACTAACTCCGTCGTACGACTGTCGGCCGACTGCCTGGAGCGCTGGACGGCGCAACGCTGTCTGCTGATTGTCGGTGGTGACTGCACCGATCGTTAGGTGGGGTGAATGCCTGGATTTAGTCTGAACTAGCCAGCATTGCGCCTTAAAAAAAAGGTCTTGTATGGCTCCTTCTATAGACCCTACTATTTCACATGAGTATTGGCCTTATAGCGATAGCCTTGTCCGGCTTCTTCCATTCTGCATTGCTTGCAGTCTTGGCTATGGCTTAAAAGGTGTCATCTCCGGTGGTGACTGTACCGATCGTTAAGCGGGGTGAATGCCTGGCTTTGGTCTGAACTAACATTATATAAGCCAGCATTGCGCCTTAAAGAAAAGGTCTTGTACTGCTCCTTCTATTCTATAAACCCTACTATTTCACACGAGTATTGGGCTTATAGCGATAGCCTTGTCCGGCTTCTTCCATTCTGCTTTGCTTGCGGTCTTGGCTCTGGCTTAAAAGGTGTCATCTCCGGTTCTACATTTCCAAACTTTAAAAAAAAATTGATAATAGTTTTTGAGGTTTGAGTAATATTAAGATAGACTTATTTCAATTTGATATATTTCTCCTATATATAGTTTATTCTTTACATCTTTAAACTATTCATTTGTTAAATCTTACTGGAAAAAAATGCGGAAATAAAATACCGCATTAGGATCATCAATCACTGAATGTTTGAGTTTTCTCTCTATTGTGTGTAGATAAACAGAATAAACTACTTAAGCTATGATAAAAATACCTGAATAAAAATGGGTTTAACACACTTTTTGGGAAAAACCTAGAGATGTTAATGGTTGGTTGATTTCAGATAAAGCTAAAATAGGTAGGATTAGACCTGGGCAAATCTCTTTGTTAAAGTGAGTCAATTTTATCTTTTTTATTATTATTGATTTTAAATTTCTTCCTTTTTTTTTTCTTTTTTTTTAATTGTAAAGAGGTCTAAATATTGATTTCTTATTTTGATAACTAAATTTGATAGATTAAAAAATTCTTGTATTTTCTTAAATCACTATATAATGCAATACATTTTTATTTTTATCTTTTTATTATAATTATTTTTTCATAATTTTTCTAACAACTAAATCTTTATTCAACTTTTTTGACAGACAAAATAGGCCCTATATATTTTTCTAAATGACTAATTTTTGATTTGATAATTCTATTAGTTATATTTTATTGGGTGTTTTAATGCATTGTTTATTTTACTGTACATAAATTATTCATTGATAATTCATATATATTTTGTATAGTACTAGTATAGTACTAGAACTAGTCCTAGTATAATTTTGATTCGATAAAAGAAAAATGAACCTGAACAAGAAAATATTTATACAAAACTTAAAATGCAAAGCACCTACTATTGTTACATCACAATTATTCTTTGTTAGAATAAATAAGATAAAATATAAAGAAATTCATCATAACAACAAATATCGATAGTTTATTTTGATAAATAAATTATATATTTTGATAGATCAAATAAATTGTTTTTCTGTATGACTATTAAATGCAATACATTTGTTTTTATTTTTTTTAAATAATTAACTAAATTTGTACACTATATATATATTATATTGATCTCTGTTATTTACCATGCATCAAGGACTGGTGCTGTCTACTACACATGCACATAAGTGTGAAGAATTGCTTTAATCGGATTTCAATTCATAACAAAGCCACAATGGCCTAGTTGGTTAAAAGCATCTGCATAGACAGCAGAAGTTCCTGATTTTGTATCCATTTTGGAGCACTTATTTTTTCACACTCACAGATTATTTCTCAGATTCATTTAAAACTTATTTATATAGTTACAGCATTACTGCAGGACAGTTTATATGTAAGATTTTGTTAAACCTCACATAGGGTACAGATATAAAACCATCATACAAACAAACTGTACCTTAGGTTTATATTTCTTGCTTTCACACCATTGGACGAAACAATGCGTTGCCTGGTCAATGCTCTCCTTATCCCGCAACTTGCAGTAAACACGAATCTGCTGCTCTGAAAATTTCTCTGGTAACATATTAGACACCTAGAAAATATACAAAGACAAAAGAAAAATCAAACAGTGTGAAATACATGACTATGCTATCCACCTTTTAAAATAACTATATTTTACAGTACACTATTTTGCTCTTAAAATTATATATAAATAAAATTAATAATAATATGATGTATGCTGAGGATAATTATGATGATGATGACCAAACAATTTATAATAATTAATAATAATTAAAATATTGAATCTTTATGTTCAATGTTTTATCCAAAAGGTACATTTAATTTGAATACTGAAGTATCTAAAGGAGGGCATGTGGCCCTCACTGAAAAAGTTCGAAGAAAAAAAAATCGTGCTCAAGTAGATAAAAATCATATTACCTTATTTTGCAAGCTAGCGCCACACAATTCATCGAGCCCCACCCCCCCCCCCCCCCCAATATGCCATTGAATTTAAATAAAGAAGACATACCTCACTTTTGCGAACCATAGTTGCCTGCTCAGGATCATACTTTGAGTAAAACCGCACAAAGTCTATAGGATTGGCACTCCCCATGCCATAATTTAAATCTACAACCTAAAAAAGAGAAACAAATTTAAGTCAGTTGACAGTTTGCGATTTTTTTTCTGTACGCGACATTTCCATCAAACTCCACTTGGGTCGTCTCGACTGACAGGACTCGAAAATATCACACTGCAGAATTCTGGCGGTCAACAAAAGACAAACGTCTACAACAAGTTTAAAGTATTGTAGGCCTACCAGGCTACTATAACTTCATACAGTATCTCGTTGTCTGATTTTTAAAAATACATAGATGTTACTATGCTATTATTATTTCAACTAAATACTTACATTACTGTGAAAATGTTAATTTTTATAATTAGGCCTAGGTTTCAGATAATCAAGTACAGGCCTTATTAATTACAGGCCTATTTACTTACTTGAGCTTTGACATCTCTTGCAAGAGTAGGACTACATTTGGCCATCAATGACTGGTAAATTTACCAGTTGACTTCTGTTTCTGGATGTTATTAAGTAAATAGTGGTTCTATTTGTTACATTGCAAGGCTTAGGCAGAGTTAATTAATCCCGGAATGATACATTTAATTCATTAACATTGTTATTAAGAAGAAAGTTGACTTGTATCTTGTATTATTATTATTATTATTATTATCTAATTTAATATTAATTGCATTACAAGGCTCTAGGGAGGGGCCTAGGTAGGACCTAACTCAGTCCTTGTTAGGCCTAGGTTAGCCTCATTTTCTCAGCATTTTATAGTCCCTATCTACTACTGTACTACATGTTATACAATAGAAGGGGGTACTACCTGTTGATATTGCTACTGTTGTAAATAGTATCGAACTTAACATTAATAACGTACAGTAGGCCTACAAGAAGCATAGTTACAGACGTACATCCTATAAATCTGAAAGATTTCATAAGCCTATCGTAGATAGACATTTAGAAAGGACAATAATACTCGAGCGTCGCGACTTTGCTAAGTGTCCGCTTTTCTTTCTAATATTTTTAACTTGGTATTGTATCAAACTTGAGTCAAGTCAATCCCCGAGGCCCGAGTGGAGTTTCCGGCAAATGTTTCGTATGGGGAAAAAAATCACAGGCAGTTTATCCTTGGTTTCGCAAAGAGGGCACCCCCTCCCCCCACCTCTCATTTTTCACTTTCCTTGTTAGTCAATAATTTTTTAATTTATTAATATTCTTGAGGGTGAATGCACACTCATATGCATCTGGATGTGACCCTTAAGGCCTAAAATATCTTCATAGTCAATGCAAACACTAAGTTGTAACAACAAACTGTATATTTAAATATAAAATATCATGACATATACTCTATGCATACTTGTAGACAGAGTCAATAGAATTACTGTGAATAGATAAACAGCTTGCCTCAACAGCGAAGTCGCGTGAAAGTCTCATATCTTTTGGCCATATTTAGGCATATGTACTTTACATTGTTCTATGTATGAGGAAGTACAATCTTTTTGAAAAAAAAACTTTTCAAAAGCGATTGAAATCTACAGAATGCACACACTTTTCTGTTTGACAAAGTATATTAAACATTGTTCAAGTGTATTATATACATTTTTTGGTAATAATGTCAGGTTAAAGAAAAGTATTTGAGAAATCAGCCTTCAAAGTTTATGATTTCACTGTTCAGACGTTTGTCACGCAGACACTATCACAAAATTGTTAAAAAATGCTGTTTGAACATTGAACGATATGTATAGATATATAAAATTTAGTTGAGTGCAATAAACAGGTAAAATGGGTAATTTAAAATTTGACAGTTACTTTAAAATACGCATACTAAAATATTCCTAATGTTATCAAATACTGTACATGTTCACAGAATTCTAACCCTGCACTATGGTAAAAAAGTACAAAAATCAACATTTTTGTGCAGCAAAATTTCATTTTCGTACATGACCAGGTCGTTATTAAGATAACCACAGGTCACCATGTCGCCGGCATACTTAATAATCTTAAAATTCCTGGAATAACTAATACAATCGCTCGTAAATATTGAAAACAAAAGAGGAGAAAGGACGCATCCTTGAGGTATACCTTTACTAATTGTATTACATTTTGACGTTTTTCCTACTTTAACATGTTGATTGTCTATTTGTTAAAAAACATTGAATCCACAAGGCTAATCTTGGATTAACATTCATTCCCATTATTTTTTTAATAACGATCAGGTGTGGCGGTAACGTACTAAACGCACTACTGAAATCGGCCAAAAAGAGCCCGAACAATAGACCAGGGTCTATCAAGGTGTTCAACTATAAATAATTATCAACGATTATTTCAACATTTAGTTGTTAGTGTACACAAATATTTGCAGTGCTGATCTTTACAAGAGTGCTACGTATGGAAATCCAGCAACCTGTTCGAACCAACCACAAAAGGATTCTTTTATTTAGATACCCCTCTTTGTAGTAGGATTTGTTTTGCTCATTTATGTGTACCATGTTGTTCTGGTTTTTGTATTTTTGACTTTACATTATCAAGACCGAGTTCCCTTCAATTGTTGTTACTGTTTGTTTACCTTTCCATACATGTCAGAAAGGCTTTACTGAAGCAGGATGATTTGGTGTTCAAAGATATCCTGTTTTGATTAAATTATAAATAATGCTAAATCATCGTACTCTATTTCCCTAACCCACCCCACTAAATCCGCCCCTGAAAATTGATCCCAATGCAGCCATTTAATGTTATTGGCTTGTACCTGATTTACATGACAGAAACGTACTTTCAACAGATTTGTGTGAATCAAACCAATCAGCTGCTAGTCTGCTAAAGCTAAAACGAATTTATGGTGCCGTCTGCTGGTTGTCGGTTGTAGCAAAGACCTTATAGCAGAAATATAAACGCTTCCCGTAGTTTGCATTAAAATTGATGGAACGACCACCCTCCTGCGAGTTATGATATATTTAATCCATTATTATTGTTATTAAGAAGAAAGTTGACTTGTATCTTGTATTATTATTATTATTTTTTATTATTATTATTATTATTATTTTATTTAATATTAATTGCATTAAAAGGCTCTAGGGAAGGGCCTAGGTAGGACCTAACCTAGTCTTTGTTAGGCCTAGGTTAGCCTCATTTTCTCAGCATTTTATAGTCCCTATCTACTACAGTACTACATGTTATACAACAGAAGGGGGTACTACCTGTTAATATTGCTACTGTCGTAGATAGTATCGAACTAACATTAATAACGTAGGATTACAAGAAGCATAGTTACAGACGTACATCCTATAAATCGGTAAGATTTTATAAGCCTACCGTAGATAGACATTTAGAAAAGACAATAATAATCGAGCATCGCAACTTCGCTAAGTGTCTGCTCTTCTTTCTAATATTTTTAACTTGGTATTGTATCAAACTTGAGTCAAGTCAATCTGAGACGGCCCGAGTGGAGTTTCATGCAAATGTTTTCATGCAAAATCACAGGCTGTTTATCATTGGTTTCGCAAAGAGGGCACTCCCCCTCCCATTTTTCACTTTGCTTGTTAGTCAATTATTTGTTTATTTATTAATATTCTTGAGGGTAAATGAACACACATATGCACCTGCATGTGACCCTTAAGGCCTAAAATATTTTCATAGTCAATGCAAACACTAAGTTGTAACAACAAACTGTATATTTAAATATAAAATATCATGACATATACTCTATGCATAATTGTAGACAGTCAGTAGAATTACTGTAAATAGATAAACAGCTTGCCTGAACAGCGAAGTCATGTGAAAGCCTCATATCTTTTGGCCATATTTAGGCATATGTACTAATACATTGTTCTATGTATGAGGAAGTACAATATTTTTGAACAAAAAACTTTTCAAAAGCAATTGAAATCTACAGAATGCACACACTTTTCTGTTTGACAAAGTATATTAAACATTGTTCAAGTGTATTATATATATTTTTTGGTAATATTGTCAGGTTAAAGAAAAGTATTTGAGAAATCAGCCTTCAAAGTTTATGATTTCACTGTTCAGACATTTGTCACGCAGACACTATCACAAAATTGTTAAAAAATGCTGTTTTAACATTGAACGATATGTATAGATATATAAAATTTAGTTGACTGCAATAAACAGGTAAAATGGGTAATTTAAAATTTGACAGTTACTTTAAAATATGCATACTAAAATATTCCTAATGTTATCAAATACATGTCCACAAAATTCTAAAACTGCACTATGGTAAAAAAGTACAAAAATCAACATTTTTGTGCAGCAAAATTTTATTTTCGTACACAACCAGGTCGTTATTAAGATAACCACAGGTCACCATGTCGCTGGCATACTTAATAATCTTAAAATTCCTGGAATAACTAATACAATCGCTCGTAAATATTGAAAACAAAAGAGGTGAAAGGACGCATCCTTGAGGTATACCTTTACTAATTGTATTACATTTTGACGTTTTTCCTACTTTAACATGTTGATTGTCTATTTGTTAAAAAACATTGAATCCACAAGGCTAATCTTGGATTAACATTCATTCCCATTATTTTTTTAATAACGATCAGGTGTGGCGGTAACGTACTAAACGCACTACTGAAATCGGCCAAAAAGAGCCCAAACAATAGACCAGGCAGGGTCTATCAAGGTGTTCAACTATAAATAATTATCAACGATTATTTCAACACTTAGTTGTTAGCGTACACAAATATTTGCAGATCTGATCTTTACAAGAGTGCTACGTATGGAAATCCAGCAACCTGTTCGAACCTACCACAAAAGGTTTCTTTTATTACCCCTCTTTGTAGTAGGATTTGTTTTGCTCACTTATGTGTACCATGTTGTTCTGGTTTTTGTATTTTTGACATGCTTTACATTATCAAGACCGAGTTCACTTCAATTGTTGTTACTGTTTGTTTACCTTTCCATACATGTCAGAAAGGCTTTACTCAAGCAGGATGAATTTAGTGTTCAAAGATATCCTGTTTTGATTAAATTATAAATAATGCTAAATCATCGTATTCTATTTCCCTAACCCTAACCCACCCCACTAAATCCGCCCCTGAAAATTGATCCCAATGCAGCCGTTTAGCTTGTACCTGATTTACATGACAGAAACATACTATCAACAGATTAGTGTGAATCAAGCCAATCAACTGCTAGTCTGCTAAAGCTAAAACGAATATATGGTGAAATCTGCTGGTTGTCGGTTGTAGCAAAGAGCTTATAGCAGAAATATAAACTCTTCCCGTAGTTTGCATTAAAACTGATGGAACGACCACCCTCCCGCGAGTTATGATACATTTAATCCATTATTATTGTTATTAAGAAGAAAGTTGACTTGTATCTTTTATTATTATTATTATTGTTATTATTATTATTATTATTATTATTATTATTATTATCTTATTTAATATTAATTGCATTAAAATGCTCTAGGGAGGGGCCTAGGTAGGACCTAACTCGGTCTTGTTAGGCCTAGGTTAGCCTCATTTTCTCAGCATTTTATAGACCCTATCTACTACTGCACTACATGTTATACAATAGAAGGGGTTACTACCTGTTGATATTGCTACTGTTGTAAATAGTATCGAACTAACATTAATAACGTACAGTAGGCCTACAAGAAGCATAGTTACAGACGTACACCCTATAAATCGGGAAGACTTCATAAGCCTACCATAGATAGGCATTTAGAAAAGACAATAATACTCAAGCATCGCTACTTTGCTAAGTGTCTGCTCTTCTTTCTAATATTTTTAACTTGGTATTGTATCAAACTTGAGTCAAGTCAATCTGAGACAGGCCGAGTGGAGTTTCATGCAAATGTTTCGTACAGAAAAAAAAATTGCAGGCAGTTTATCATTGGTTTCGCAAAGAGGGCACCCCCCCCCCCACCCTCTTTCCCATTTTTCACTTTCCTTGTTTTAGTCAATAATTTTTTTATTTATTAATTGATGGTGAATGCACACACATATGCACCTGCATGTGACCCGTAAGGCCTAAATTATTTTCATAGTCAATGCAAACACTAAATTGTAACAACAAACTGTATATTTAAATATAAAATATCATGACATATACTCTATGCATACTTGTAGACAGAGTCAGTAGAATTACTGTAAATAGATAAACAGCTTACCTCAACAGCGAAGTCACGTGAAAGCCTCAGATCTTTTGGCCATATTTAGGCATAAATACTTTACATTGTTCTATGTATGAGGAAGTACAATCTTTTTTAAAAAAAAACTTTTCAAAAGCAATTGAAATCTACAGAATACACACTTTTTTCTCTTTGACAAAGTATATTAAACATTGTTCAAGTGTATTATATACATTTTTTGGTAATATTGTCAGGTTAAAGAAAAGTATTTTAGAAATCAGCCTTCAAAGTTTATGATTTCAGACGTTTGTCATGCAGACACTATCACAAAATTGTTAAAAAATGCTGTTTGAACATTGAACGATATGTATAGATATATAAAATTTAGTTAAGTGCAATAAACAGGTAAAATGGGTAATTTAAAATTTGACAGTTACTTAAAAATATGCATACTAAAATATTCCTAATGTTATAAAATACATGTCCACAAAATTCTAACCCTGCACTACAGTAAAAAAGTACAAAAATCAACATTTTTGTGCAGCAAAATTTCATTATCGTACACGACCAGGTCGTTATTAAGATAACCGCAGGTCACCATGTCGCCGGCATATTTAATAATCGTAACATTTCTTGGATAATATACAATTGCTCGTAAATATTGAAAACAAAAGAGGAGAAAGGAAGCACCCTTAAAGTGTACCTGTACTAATTGTATTACATTTTGACAACGTTTTACAACATGTTGTTGTCTATTTGTTAAAAAACATTGAATCCACAAGTCTAATCTTGGATTAATATTCATTCCCATTAATATAATGATCAGGTGTGGCTGTAACATATTAAACACACTACTGAAATCGGTAAAAAAAGCCCGAAACAACAGACTAGGGTCCATCATAAATAATTATCAATGATTATTTCAATACTTAGTTGTTAGTGTACACTGGATTCAATTACAAATATTTGCAGCTCTGATCTTTACAAGAGTGCTATCCAGCAACCTGTTCGAACCAACCGCGAAGGTTTCTTTTATTTAGATACCCCTCTTTGTACAAGGATTTTTTTGCTCACTTATGTGTACCATGTTGTTCTGGTTTTTGCATTTTTGACAGGCTTTACATTATCAAGACCGAGTTCACTTCAATTGTTGTTACCATTTACCTTTCCATACATGTCAGAAAGGCTTCACTGAAGCAGGATGATTTAGTGTTCAAAGATACCCTGTTTTGATTGAATTATAAATAATGCTTAATCATCGTATTTTATTACATAGTATTGGTATGTATGGCAAAAAACTGATCAATTTTATTGTGTACTCAAAAATAACTGTTATTGCACTGCAGCTAAAATCAGGGCGGATCCAGAGATGTCAAAAAGTGGGGCTGGAAAGGAGACCGGAAGTGGTACTGATCGAGATAATGCTACCCTGGGGGTCCGGGGACACGCCCCCCTTCCCGCAAAATGTTTTGTTCTACACCCCCAATAATAACCTCTGAGGCATTTTGCCCAATCATCTTTTTCTTTCTTTCTTTCTCTTTTTTCTTTTCCTTCTAAAAGGGGTGGGCTGCCCCCCCCCCTAAATCTTCCCCTAATGCAGCCTTTTGTAATGTCATTGGCTTGTACCTGATTTACATGACAGAAACATACTATCAACAGATTTGTGTGAATCAGGTATCAACACCAATCAGATACTAGTCTGCTAAAGCTAAAACGAATCATAGCGCCGTCTGCTGGTTGTCGGTTGTAGCAAAGATCTTACACAGCAGAAATATAAACTCTTCGCGTAGTTTGCATTAAAATTGATGGGGCGACGACCAACGACTGCCAGACGCAGTTAATGCCTTGCTTTAAACTTGCATAACTAATTTTTGTTTCTTCTCCAAAACAGCACCATTGACACCCCCACACCCACCAACAATGGCAAGCCTGGATATGGCCCTTAAGGGCTAAAATGACAGACCTTTCCACTGAAAGTGAGGGCCAAATCACATGCCTAAGATACTGATGTCTCATGACTGTAAACATAACTTAGATGAGGAAACCACCAAGGCCCTATAAATATCTAATGATGTGTTCTATATGGTTCTATTAACAACAATCACCTGACCAGATCAATTATCATTGGGAAGTAAACTTTCCATCAACAATCCTTGATATTCATTTGAATATATTTTCAATATATCATTTAGGTACCACTCTTTGTACCAGGGCTAAATTGTATGATGTTGTGAAGGTTGTTGTGAAGGTCTTTGTATTTTTGACATGCTTTATACCAGACCCACTTCACTTCAATAGCTGTTTAAATTTATTAAGAGGAGGTGATCGATTAATTTAGTTTTTTTTGTAGTATATCAAATTTATAATGTTATAAAATGTTTCAATGTTGACAATCTTCTTTCTTGCCCCAACAACAACAATCCTCTTCATTCATTCCAATATTTTCAGACCTAGTTCAGTTCAATAGTTGTTACCATTTGTTTACCTTTCTATATATGTCAGAAAGACTTCAATGAAGCAGGGCAATTTAGTCTTCAATGATATGTTTGAATTATAAATAATGCTTAGTCACCACATTCTATTACTTTGTACTGGTACGTATGGAATTAATTTTAATTTTTTGTTTTTGTAGTATATCATTATAAAGTGTTTCAATATTGACCTTTTTGAGTTCACAGGTACCTACCTGCACGCACAGGCAGCTTACAAAGAGATCCTGCACAGTATGCGATTGAACATGTAGGCCTACAGTCCCCATGGTGATATTGTGGAGCTGCCTGCAGTTCGACACTAGGGTATTTATTGTGGTAACATTTTGAATAAAAACTTATACATATTTTTTTTTAGCGTGGCGCTAACATTTTATGTGTGCTGCAATCTTTGCCTATTTTCCCAAACGTGGCGGCCATTCTGTTTTTTCATTCAAGCGTGGCGGTAAGCGTGGCGGTACCGCCACGCTTAAGTAGAGCTGGCGAGACCCTGAGTACAGTGTACCGTATCACGTGTTTAACTTTGTCACAATCTTTTTCCTTGCCCCAACAACAACAAAAATCCTTTGAAAAGTGTAGCAAGAGAGCTCACCACATCTTGAAGGATTAAGCTGTGTTAGATTATAATGGTCAATAATAAGGTCAGAATGGCTGAGTTACGTTAGAAAACTGTCAATAACTTACAAGAATAACCAAATCAGAAGAATTAAGTTTGGCAAGTTCTTCCTGCTGGAATCCTACAAGCTCTTCTTTCATCTCAGGAATAAGTGCCTGAAAAAATATAATTATAAAATGTTATTCTTCATTTATATTTTGTGATCATCATTATCATTTTTACACTACAATCATCAGTACCAATTTAAATTAAATTTGTTACCAGCCTATTTAAGGGTCTGTTTTTTATTTCTTACAATCTGAATTTATATAGCGCCTTTCCCAATAAGAAGAATATAGAAGGTGCTGGAATCATATTGTTGATATTTTTATGGTCACTGGATACTGAGTTGGCCAACTGGTACATTGTTGTGCAACTTTTTCTGCTAGCTAGGGAGTATCCTTCCCAGCAAACACAAAATGTTCTTATAATGTTCACTAACGTTGCGATTAGGTATGTCATAGCGTAACGTTCACATAACGTTGTAATGTTGTGAAATGAGATTATAAGTACGTACATATGGTTCTACAAAATAACGTTTTTTATCACCAAACTGTAACGTTATTATAATGTTCTTATAACGTCATATTGTTAGCTGGGTTAGTCATGCTGCTTTACGCACACAATGCATACACTCAACACCATACCATCCTACCAGGTACCCATTTATATTCCTTGGTGGAGAGACAAACGTAAGTAAAGTACTTGCACAAGGACACAAACATGCAACTCCCAATCACATGCTGCTCCACACACTCCTACTAGATTTATTTATTCTATCTACAGTATACCAAAACTAGCATATAAGGTTTTTTTCTAATTGGAATTGACCTTCAAAAGACAGAGAATAACATTGTCAGCAACGCTTACACGTGGATTATCATCCTTGGGACTGGTCTGCCCGATGCACTTATACAACTTTCTTGACAGCACATTGGTGATGATATCACGTGACTGCTGCAGTTTAGGGTCCTTTGTATTCAGAAGCTCGTACAGAATGTTATCCGTCATCTTGGTATATGCTACCATGTCGTGGATAGCTTCAGACATTTTTAACTCTTTCCTGAAACAGTTAAATAATAATGTGTTAATACAAAACAGGTGGAAATAATTTAATGCTGTACACATAATGTAATTTGAGAGGTAAATTTATATACACTAAATCCACCAACTTCACTACTGCATAAACACCACAATTATAACTAACAGCCTCTACCATCAGGGGCGGATTTGGGGGGGGGGCCCGGCCCAGCCCCCCTTTTTGAGAGGTAAAAAAAAGGGAAAAAAAAGAGAGAAAAAGAAAAAAATGATAGCCCAAAATGCCTCAAATGTTATGTTTGGGCGTCTAGAACACAAAAAATTCGCGGGGGCATGCCCCGGACCCCCTACGACACTGTTGTCTCAATCGGCCCAACTTTCGGTCCCCCTTCCGGCCCCCCCTTTTGGACATTTCTGGATCCGCCCCTGACCATCCCTATGACCACTTCACATAATTATTAATCGCTTACAATGTTTTGTATGGAACATATTTAAGAAATCTTACCCATTTGTGCCTGTTATCAATAGATGATCATTGGCAAGAACTAATGCTTCTACAATCCTGAATAACAAAATAAAAATTATTAGAAAATTTTACTTTTCTGTGGCAAAACAACTCAATTTGAAATTTTCACTTTTTGAGAAACATAGATTTGAAGTTGTCATGTTTGCAGGACTATATATCTATATTTAATAGATTTAAATTATATGTAAAATTTTAATTACAAATGTTGGTTTACTGCAAATTTATTAAAGATGTTCACAGATACATTTTTTTACCTCAGAAACGTGAAACGTGAGGCTCACTATTATCGCAAGTGCATCATATTTTTTTCACTTATCACGTTTGTGGCAATCAAATGCATTATCTAGCTTGTGCATACATTGTTGTTAAGATTATTGATATGAAAACATAATCAACCAGTTAATTTTGCTGTGTCAAACTCCATCAGCTAAAAACTGTTTTTGATTAGCAATGTATGTATTAGCGCAAATAAATTTGCTTAGAGGAAAAAGGGCTTAAGAGTGAAGCATGGTTGATAAGAGAACGCTTCCTGAACTCTGATTAGCTGCGCATTTCTTTTGATTCGCAAAAAGCAGAAACAGTTCGTACTACCGATTTTGTTGAAGTGAAAACTCCTATAGAAATGCGAATGCACATGCGCATGAATGAAGCTTTCGATTCACATGAATAAATTCGCTTAGTGGAAAGTCGGCTTAAGAGTTAAGCACGGTTGATAAAAAATGTGCTTCCTGAACTGCAAACAAAAAGTAGAAACAGTTTGAACTACCGATTTTGTTGAAGCGAAAACTCCTATAGAAATGTGGATGCACATGCATTTCTATGGAATCGCATCAGATGATGGCCGCTGCGCGTGATGTGTACCCGGCTTTCAAAAATGTTTATACTCTTTTAATGTCAGTTTTATTAATTAGTTTTAGTTCCGCACCAAATTGTCCTTGCAATGACAATGATAAACTTACATTGTTTCGATTATCTTGTTAACCTTGTGTTGGTACGCTCTTCGATGAAGACAATTCCTTGTATGAAACATGTCATACAAATTTCCTACCTCCTGGAAAAAATAAATGGTATATCATTAAGACAAAAATTTATATAATAACTTTAAAAAAAAAGAAAGGTTTTCTTGGTGTACTGATTGAGCCTAATCATATAATTATAAGCCATCTTTCCACAGCAACTGCAATGAAAAATTATATGATATACAGTAAAGCAGCAGTTTGCACTGCAGACTCGACATAGAATATCAATGGCAGATCCAGGAATTCTACAACAGGGCCTAGGGAATGAGTTTTAAAGATGGAAGTACAGCCCCACTATGGTTGGAGAAGAGGCACATTGGCAGACACAAAAGGGACCCTGCCAGACTGGAACCCCCTAAATTTTACAAATTATAAAAAATTGGAGAAAAATAAAAGAATATTATGGTGGGGCTTATGTGGTTTACACTATCCATCTGTGAATGTCCCTCGCTGGGCTTCCTCTAATTCAAATTCCTGGATGTGCACTGAAACTATCTATTTTTCCAATATTAATTTTTCATCTATTTTGGGGAGCTCGGGGGTGGCTGACCTGCTAGTTGAAACTGTCCCTGAATGTCTTACCTTATCGCGCGTACATATCTGAAACTCTCCGTCAACCTTCATTACTTTAGCAAACTTCATGAAGCGACTGTAATCAAAGCTGTTGGAAATTCCAAGCATGTGACAATCACGTGCAAAGTAGTCCCACTTGTCTACGTCGATACCATTGCGTTTGTTGGCAACGATCTCATACAGAAAATGCTTGTTTTCAGGTCTACCTTTGTATTTCTTGTTCTTATCCTAATAGCCCCAAAAAAGGAATTAGTAAAAATGTCCACACTTCTTAAAAACTTACACAAATTAATGAATGGTTATTTAGACCGCGTTTCCGCAATACTTACAAACAGATAAATTATCGGAAAGCAGGTATTTTGTTATTTTTCAATGTGGAAATGGCCCAAAGTACATTTCCCAGAGTGAAATAGTACCAAAGGATTTCATTTCTAGGCCTAGGCCTATCCTTCTTGCACAAAAAAGAGTCAACTGCTAGGTCAACAAAACGGATGTTTTGATGTAGAACACACTGCACTGTTATCCATAATTTTGCATGACGGGATAAAATATTTGGAGGGCATTTCAAAATAATTTATCTGAAAATTTATTTGAGGAATTACAAGTGCTGCGGAAACACAGCCTTAAAACTCATTTTGACTGTTTCATGGATTTTCCAGATTGGATCATTTCAATACTTTTCCATGATATTCCATATTAACAATTCAATGACCCTTCATTTTAATTTTTTCTGTTTTCTATTTGTTTTAGGCCCAAGGCCAACAAGATGTCAAACCTCAGATTTAATCACAATTCTAAGTGGCATATCCCTTTACAAGACAAACATAAACATAAAATGCTCTAAAAATTTCTTATTATGGGCTTGGGAATTGTTTTTGGTTGTGAAGACAATTCCTATTCACTCCAGCTTTGAACTTCACCCATGACTGGCGATTCCACTACAGTTTCATGACAATTCGAACTGGATTTTCCATTATCTTTTCTCATTGAACATTTTCATGACAGTTTCATGGTTATTCCTAGATTGGACAATTCCATAACTGCTCCACGGCCACTCAAAGCATTCGGCCAAATCTAGACTTCATGACAGAACCAATCTCATGAAAAAAAAGTAATCGGTCATATAACAAAATCCTTACATACCTACAATCCTGTGTTCAATTAATTTTTTTCCTCACAAGAATATAAACTTACCTCTTTGTCTAGAGGACCATAAATCTGCTCCTTGATGAACGTCATGTCTGCGTCATTCAAGCCATGAGCATAAAACTGCTCCTTTAAATTATTTTCTTTGATCAGATAATCAAACATTTTTACAGAAGCTTCTTCATGCTGAAAAAAGAAAAGGAAAACAAAGAAAAAATTATGAGAGTACAGTAAAATCCCTATTACTGAAGAGTCCTCCAATAGTTGGCGCAGATTTAAAATAGCCTAGATTTCCGGCTTAATAGGTGGATTAGGAATAGAGTTTTTTTTTTTTTGTGTGGGATCACACAAAGGATAACCCTCTATTTCTAAAAACTTGTTTCGATTGGGGTCCTTCTGTTGGTGAATTGGGCAGTACCCGAGACAATCCTCTACTCTTTTCCAAAGAGTGTACTGCGTTCCTTAATGTGCACACAGGATCAACGGCTTAACCGTCTCATCCGAAAGACGGTGCGCTATCGTAACTTGTAATCCAGGGCTCCAGCTAAAACACAAGGAGAGCAACGATAGGAATTGAATCAGGGACCTAGATTTGTCCACGGTTTAATACATGCGCAGTGGCTACGACCAGTTGATGCGGACTGAGCTAAGCTGCTCTCAGGTAAAATTATGATGAACAGTAGAACCTCTATTAAGGAAAGAGCTCCCTCAAGAGGGGTTGGCCATAGTTTTAAAAAACCCTTGATTTCTGCCTGAAAAGTTCCCTTATTAGTGGCATCCCAAAGAAGGGGAATTTTCTGCATTAGATTAGTTGAAGGGGGGTACCATTTCCTGCAAGCAATTATGTGAGATTGAGATATTTTGTAGATTTATTCAGAAGCTTAAAAGATTAAAAAATTGGTTATTCTACTAAATATGCAGAACCTTAACTACTATATTTAAATACGGAAACAACACTAGCTCTCAGAACAATATTTTGCACAACCAAAAAAAATAAATAAAAACTACTCACTTTCCATTTACTCTTTGGATCAATCGAAGGTATAAATACTCCATCAAACACATGAGAAAACGGCCCGTGACCTGAGGGACAGAACGGCAGAAATTTACTGTAGTGTAATAAATCAAATAATTCAAAAAAACTTTTTTATTAGCATAATGATTGTATAATAAAAATAACAACAATAATACTACAATAAAAAAAATATCTGATTTTGTTGTGAGCTGCGGGAAAAAATTAAAATCCCTATGTGTGCATCCTGTCAACCATCTTTTGGTTAGAAAACCTTGTGTTTTCCATGGCCCGGCACCGATTATCTGTCAAAAGTACTACCAAGACTGAGCATTAATCAGGCCCTCTGACCCATATTTCTGCCCACCCCTGCAATATACAATGGACCTTTCCGCTAAGTCCTGCCCCTTGGCTACTGTTGCTAAGGTTCCACAAAACAAAACAAAAGTGTTAAATTAGTCAAAAGATACGCAAACAGCTGCGTTTGTGGGACAACACATGTGCTTCTTAGACACGCACATATTCCTTGCCCTGTTCTGATTGGTTAGTTGTTAAATTTGATTGACATTTCCGAAATGTCCATTCTAAGCTGGTTTATTGAATACTTTCTCAATTAGAGCTTTCAAATGCACAACAAACGTAGAACCAAAAAAAAAAATGATGTCAAATAAATGGTTGGGTTATTGTCAACTGAATTCTAGGACGGAAGTTTGGCCTGGATCTATGTTGTGCAGAGAACGTGGAACAAGTGATGGTTGAGTGAATCCGTCCTAGGGTTAACGTCATCTAAAGCTACCACTGTCCAGAACTTGTACCTAGGTCATGGCAGAGTCCAGCTATCTCAACACACAGCACATCTTGTGGAGTGATGTTCAGTTCTGGTTGCCTCTCTTTCAAGGTTCTTGCTAACATGCCAGCAAGATGTGAAACTCTGTAAAATCAAGTCATTTGACAATTTAAATGTTGAAAGCATTACAGTATTTACCGTAACAGCGTACTGTTGTTTAAGATAAGTAAATATTTTTATTCCCACATGGAGAAAAAACACCTCGCCACGCACGCCATATGAGAATGGGGGAGATTCTCATATGACATACAACAAAGGTGTTTTAATGATGTAAAAATAATAATAAAAGTTAAATAAAGAAATTTAAAAATTTTTAAATAATAAAAATAAATAAATATAAAAATAAATAGTATTAAAAATAAAAGTAACAATAAATCCATTGATAAAGTGCACAAAATCTACAGCAAAATCTTAAGTTGAAATAAATGAAATTTTGATCTCATGTTAAATTAAGTATAAATGTAAAGCTAACTGTAAAGCTAGTGATTCAATAATCCAAAAGTTATTTCAAATTCAATCATAATTTTTCTGGACATTTTTGCACTTTATGAATTGATCTATTGTTATTGTTATTATTTTTCATATTTTAATTTATTTTTATATTAAATTCTTTTATTTTTTACATTTTTATTTATCTATTTAATTTTGTATATTTAAACTTAATTGCAAATTAATTTCACTTAATTAAATGTAATGTGTTACAGCTAAGTGGAATATTTCTCATTCTAACCAAGCAACTTTCCTTTAATCACTCTTTAAATACATACAAGCATATGCATACTAGTAGAGATGGCAACAAATTTGGTCAGTATGCACCACAGAAATTAAACAGTGACGTACCCTATAGAATGTTCAAAGCGGTTGTGGGAAGCTCCTGGAAAAACGTAGTAGCAACATCCGAGCTGTTTGATTTGCCGTAGCCGCTGGAACTGAAGCGTGTCCATGATTTTAATACACAGTGGATGCACCTGTATGTGTCCATGTATTGAGTCATTGAAAACCTAAAAATGTTAAACAAATTTTCATAAAAAATCTATTACACAATAGCAGAATCTCATCTCCTTATAAGCTTGTGTAATGGTGTTTGTAACATGGTATAAAAGAAAATAATAAAAGGAGCAAAAGTAGCAAATTTAAATATTATAATGGTATTAACCAATCAGAATCAAGTTAACAATACAATTAGTTGATTGGACCACAAAATCAGTGACAAGTTAATGGGCGAATTAATTACAATTAAACCAGATAAGATGTGGGCAAGATGATTATGTAAGCGATAGTTTATTGGCCGTGCCATTGAACCAGCTTAATGCTCACAGTTAGTATATATATATATACAGTTATATATATTTATATCTGGCTCTCACCTTGTAATCAGCGCCTCTTGATTTAATTTTTGCTTGCATCTCTTGTAGGATTTTTTGCAAGTTAAGTCTTTTTCCTAAAGTCCTAATACACCAGAAGGTATATGCACAAAAATAGAAACATTAAAATAGAGGATTTAAAAGCCACATTTGATAAGTAATATATATTCCAATATAGCTGACCATTTTCAGTGAAAACAAATTATTTTTAAACATAAAAAATATCAAATTGTTTTGTCATTCTTGAATCTTATGCTAAAGAAAAAACATTTTTTATAATCAAAATCAATATATAAATTATAAACACACTCACGTAATGCCAATTTCTTTGAGATCATTTTTACTCAAGTCTAATAAATTTTGGCCAGAAATTTCTTCACCTAAATGAATTGTTGAAAGAGAAATGTAATAATTAATTGGTGAGACATGCGGAATTAAGTTGCGTTCATACGAAATCTGAATTTTTGGATCGGAAGGCTTACCGAACTCATCAGTTAAAATCTTTAGTATCTAAGGATAGGGACGTTGACATTTAGCGATCAGAAAATCGATTGAAATTTTCAGTTCAAATCGGATGTGAATGCAGTTTACTTTTCTAAATTATACATAGATCTGTTTTGGAAGATACCTCCAAGCAGTACCCTGCTCAACCCATTGCACAACAGAACAACGCAAATATAGTTGTTTTTGTACAGTACGAGTATGTCATTGTACGGCACAAATGCGAAATTTGGTATACCTTGCTAAAAACTAAATATTCGTTTTGCTTGACTAAACAACATAATTTCCCCTTGTCAAGTTGGTTTTAGAATGGGTTATTCCAAATTTTTACCAGGGTGTACCACGAATGGGTGAGTATTATTGATGTGAATCACCCCCCTGATGTCCATGCAATATTTCTTGATTGGTCGAAGGCTTTCGACAAAGTTCCACATGCTACTTTGCTCAGCAAACTTAAATCAATTGGGATTGTTGGCCAAATTCACATGTGGATTTGTGATTTCCTTTTGCATCGTACAATCCGGTGTCCCTCAGGGTTCCATACTGGGGCCGCTTCTTTTTATCCTGCTTACTAGTGATTTGCAAAATGTTGTTTCATCTCCCACCTCAATTTTCATGTATGCAGATGATACTGTTATTTTTAGGTCCATTTCTTCTGATGAAGATGCCATCAAGCTGCAATCTGAATTGAATAATATTGCCACATGGAGTCATGAGAATGGTATGGTCATCAATCCTTCTAAGTCCGTTTTTCTTCCAATATCTCGGCGCCAAATCCCATTGCTATTTTCATACGAAGTTAATCATATTGAAATTCTACGCAGGAGTGAGTATAACTACCTTGGCTTATTATTCAATCAAACCTAAAATGGCATCTCCATATTCAATCAATTTGTAATAAAGCCAACCGAGTACTTGGTTTTATTGAACGTTTCTCTGGCCGATCTAAACTTTCACTCACTACATGTATAATAGTCTATGTCTTCCCATATTAGAGTATGCGTCCCCAGTATGGAACCCCTATATGGAATGTGATATTGCCAGGATTGAACGCATTCAGAGAGATTTCACTAGGTAATATTTTGGCCAGACTTCTTCCATTAGGATTGGGGATATTGGATATATATCCTATGAGGAATGGATGGCTGAATTGGGTTTTGTTTCTCTTTAAAAACGTCGGAAAGTCATCGATATGTGTTTTTTCTTTAAATTGTTCAACAGCCCAATTATTAACATGTTTGACTTCATCATTATTCCTTAATGTAAGAAAAGAATATCCTACTCTTTGTAAATAGAAATCCCCAATGCAACGAACTTGCTCATTCTTTTTGTCATAGAAATATTGTTGGAATTCCTTCCTTTATATGTGCGTAATGGTAATTTTAATTTAAGAAATTTGTTAAGGAATCGTTCATATAAAATAACTTTCTTGTTTGACCATACGTTTTGCTGATGAGTGCTTGTGGATCCCAAACATTTATAGTACAGGAGCTCCGTTTCTTTTGGTATGCCCGCCTCCCCACTTACCAGCAATCTGTATACTCTTTGTTTCAATAGATTTTCTTTTTCTTTCAATTTTAATGTTTTAATCTTGTATTGTATACATATATATTTTTATGGAGGAAATAAATATTATAATAAAAAAAATGATAAATACAGTAAGGCACACAAAATTATAGAACTAAACCACCTAGTTCAGACTGGCAGGTGGATAAACCCGTTGAGTTGAGCCGGGTTTAGCCACGTAGTCTAAACTAGGCCATAACCATACCATTACTACACTGCAATACATTCAGTAAAAAAATGGTATTTTCATTTTCTCCTCCATCTGGATGTGTTTGGCAAAACTACATTTATGTGCTAAATAAGAAAACAAAATTTTCTTTTATTTTTTTCCTGCCATCCTCCGAGTTCACGAAACAAAGAATAAAAAGTCTAGCCTTAGTTCTTTGGGCACATAGGAAAAATCACTCCAGCCCAAAAATCCTGTCAAAAACATGGGAAATATTGATGCAGAAATAAAAAGAAAATTGACTGGAAATACATTTTCTTTAAAAAAATATTAAAAAATCAAATAAAACCAGTTTTTATAAAATATTTACAATATTCTTGCCAAATAAAAACAGTCATTCCCTTATTGATAAAATAAACGCAATATTATATTGTTCCAATTAAAAATTAAAAAAAAGGCCTCCCTCATCACTTTTTTTTTTTAAATTGTGATTCTATAATTTTTTCTATGTCTTATAGGCTGCTTCATTCTGGGACGACAGATCGATGATTTAACATCCACAACGAGAAGATCCATTGTACCCTTCCTGCATAGACAAAGGCTTCCAGTCATTATCATTCTAGACTAGGCGTATAGCCTATACTATATAGGCCTTGGGCTTGGCCTACTTACTGAACGCAACCCCCCCAAACCATTGAAGCAGGAGGTAAGGAAGCAAGCAACATGAAAATGATCAGATTTGAGTCTTACGTTTTAAACAGTTTGCTTCGTCACACAGCCCTTTGGAAGACAAGAAAGTATGGACTTCATTGACAGTCCAATTACGGAAATTATCTACGGATGGTACGGCTTTATTCGACGATTCCGATGACCTAGCCCGTTTCCTTGGAGGAGGCATTTTGACTTTTTTGAAACCACAAATACTCCCGCGGACGACAGCAAAAAGCAAGCACACGCAACAAACGAATGACACCGATGACACGCGATTCCCTAATTTGGATGATCAAAATGCTCTCATGCGTGACTGCTATGTACCGTCATTCGCCCTCTGTAGTTTATGAACAGGCTTGTTTGGTCCCATGCATTCCTTATTTCTCAGTCTATAACCGTATACTATAATTAATGAAAATAAATATGACCAATATTAATCTATAATCTACATTATTAAATAATTTAATAGCATATAAAACTTTACAAGTTATAAAGGGGCATAAGCTCTATATCTTCTTATTACACGCCATTGCCTTTGATGGATTTATTATCTGTTTTATGCAGTAGAACCCCTCTCCTCCGGGACACCCCTATAATCGGGACCGATCCCTATTAAGGGGACACTTTTCCGTGAAACGAGGGCCAATATGTCTCTTAACACTACAGCCAAACCCTATTAAGGGGACTGGGACACTTTTTGAGTTTGCAAAATGGTCAAATCAATACAATCTCACCCCTATTAAGGGGACACTTTTTTTTGTATCAAAACAACTATACAGCAGCCACAAAAATAAGAAAAAAATCATTCAAATTTATATTTCTACACCTTTTGAGCAATAAACTTAACATCAAACCAGAATTGTTTCCATCCTTAGAATAGGCATTGGATGCCTAGTGCAAGTGTTACTTCTTATAAATAAAATCTTGTCAATTTTGACCATTAACCCTGAAGATTGCTTGTTATGTATTTTGATATAAAATTCTAATCTATCCGGACAGCCCGCATCCTGATTTCTAAGTTGGTAATACCTACTAATAGTACTCTATCTTGTGCATCCAATAGAAAGCTTAATAGTTAAAAAAAAAATGAATATTTGGTCATTAACATTGCGATCGAATAAACCAACAAATATCAGGAACATTCACAAATTTTGTAGTTTTAATTACATATCTGTTAATTTCATATCTTGAATATCTATGAATTATATTTTGCATAGCAAATTATTGTTATAAATTAGTCATAATTAAACTGTAATTTATTCTTAGGTCAATTAAACTTAAAATTATAAATAATCTATGTCATCATTATACGAAAACATTAAAAAACCCCTTATTAAGGGGACATTTCACGATTTTGGTTAGTCCCCTGAATAGGGGTATCTCTACACCTGTATAAGAGGACACTTTTTTTGTTCTCTAAGGTTTCCACTTAATAGGGGTTCTGTAATATATTTTTATAATATACTATATTTTTATATGTTTTGAATGTTACTGTTATCCTTGTTGGAGGACAAAAAATGTACATGCAATTAAATTGTTTTTGTTTATACGAAAACATTACAAAAACCCCTTATTAAGGGGACATTTCACGCTTTAGCATTATCTTGCTGTCTTGTCCATTATTTAAAGTTCAGTTGCGAAATGAAATGAAATTAGTCTGCGAATTTAATCATTGAAAGCTTCGAGTAGGCTACAAGCGTAAGATTTGTTACCTCAAGTGCAAAAGACCTCAAAGCCCAACTCAGACAGCGTCGGCCGACGCAGCCCGACGCGATTTGTTGTCACGTCGGGTCTGTGTGAGTTGAACGCAGACGCGATGGTGTGCGTCGGGGGCAGTCGCGTAGTAGAATATTTAACGTGTTTAATATTTCTCACGACGGCTTAAGACTGTCCCCGACGATAAATCGGGTCGGGCTGCGTCGGCCGACGCTGTCTGAGTTGGCCTTAAGTCTTAATCACCGTCCTGATAAAACCATATCATCAGTGATGCATGTGTTTCAGTAGGCTATAATGATCAAATACATCGAAAATTTGAATCATCTCAAAATGTTTGTCTGTTTTGGAAGCTATACTGTCTTTTTGTTTTATTCGGATGCATGTGAATATATAAATTGATATGATGTCTTCTTACAAAGAAAAATAGTCACTCGCGGCTTTGTTTCGGCGAAAGTTAGTGCGGGCTGTGGCAAAATAATGGCAACCTCTAAAAACACAATTTAAATTCTGTTCATTTAAAGAAACAAGCAAGTAACTTCCACATTCACCGTTTTGAATTCTCATACACTGTCAGTTGCTGGTAGGCCATGCAAGGACTGGCTTAGAGTTCTGAACCTACCCTCATGTACGGTAATAAATAAGCCTACCATCTCAATAGTGGCTGGTAATCATAAGCTAAGAAACCTCTATTTCAATTATATATATAGGCCTACATGTATTTGTCACATAGTATTGTAAAAATTAAATATTGTAGAGATTTTTTTTCAGGTAAAGTATTTAGCTATATTTTATATTAGTACCGATAGTATTCCGTTTTATCTGTCGTTAATATTAGACCTAGTTGCAGTTTACCAACAACATCACCATCATCGTCCCCGATATCCTTTCATGAAGAATATCATCATCATTCATAATGAACATCATCATAATTATTATTAGAATTTAACTATCAGCCGTATGTTACATGCTGTAAATCTTTGTAATATTAGTTTATCATACAGAAAGGAACAAAAACAGAAGCTTATAGATGAAAACAATAACAAGGTAGTCCCCAGTGCTATAAGTGCCAATAAGTGCTTTGATATGAAAGTACATCATCAATCCAACTGGTAAAAAAACTAAATATACATAAATAGGCCTATGTTACGTTTTTTTAATGTTTTAAATAAATTTTTTATGTAAATTTTTAATAATGTTTGTGTGTGTGTGCAGTGTGAGTAATGTCTTATCATAATAATTGTTCAACGTTTTTGTATGTAAATAATTTAAGTTTTAAATGATATGTTTTTTAATCTATTTTTTTTAAATTTATAATTAGGCCATATGTCTATAATCTCAAATGACATCAATTCTTTTTGCAAAATAATAACTGATTTTGTTTATATTGGTTAATTTTTTTTTTTTTTTTTTTTTTATTTTTATTTTTTTTTTGCATTGTAAACCAATTTTTTTTTTTTTTTTGCATTGTAAACCAACGATTTCAGGCTGCGAGCTGCCTGTTTTGATTTTTCTTTTATACCTGACTAATAAATTCTAATTAGAATAAATAAATAACAAGAGTTTGAATAGCGCCACAAACCTATTGTTTTCACTCTACTGTATTTGTTTCCTCATCTACCATCTATGTTCTCACGTTCCGCAACACGAGTGTATCACCTTATCACCCACCCGTCGAGAGGAGAGGAGTTGACCAAGCAGATTCGGCGTCTGCTTTACCACGCCCCTTGTTAGTCCTACGTTTTGTTCTGGCTGCTCTGACCCTTTTTTTATATAGGCCTAGCTCAGGGTAAGTAAGTCTGACTAGGCGTAGGCCTACTGTAACTACACTATCCAATAAAATAGGCCTGCATTTATAGTACTACTAGCCTACTGCTACAGGCCTACTACTGTAGTACTACCTAGGCCTACTAGAGTACCTATTGCACTTCTTTCTAGACTAGGCTAGGCACATAGCCTAGCCTAGGCCTAGCCCTACTATGGTTGGGGCTGAGGTAAGAACGATTATGGCACCTGTAAATGGCAGACTTTAATTTTGGATATTTATCTCTATTGTTCTCACAGTTGACAAACTTGAAACTTGGGGCCCTTAATTAATAATCAGTCACAGTCGATGTCAGTCTGAGACACATTTTTCTGTAATTTTATCAACAAAGCTACTTTAACTTTGGGTCAGGGTGTTAAAGCGAGGACCCTGTGGATAGGGGCCCGCATGCCTAGGAGTCGAGGGCCCTGCAGACCGCGGCACGAGAGCGCATAGGTGTTACACCACTGAGTCCATTGCACAACTTATGGAAAACAGAGATTTGTGGAGAACAGTCATAAAAAAATTGTAACTTTGCTTATCATTAACAGGGTGTGCCCGATAAAGAGAGAGAGAGAGGGAAGATATTTCTGCAGTGGGAATGGGGATGCTCAGGATGCCTTAGCACCGCCCCCAGCCCCCTCCTCTTCAAAGGTTGAAAAAAAAAAATTGTACCTCTTTTTAATGTTAAAAGGTCTAAATGATCTAAAAATATAACTTTAAACAAAATCCTATTTAAACTCTAAAAGGAACCTTCAATGATATTAGGTTTTAGAGGCTATATTTATTGATTATATTCATTACAATTTACCTATTTCCCAAACGCTGCAAGTAAAAAAAAACAACAAAACAAGCCCTTACGTATACGATGCACTAAAATACTTTTTTGAAATCACATTTTTAAAGCATTAAAATATTGTGCACGTTTTTGTTTGTGGTATTTTAAAGTTGGTTCAACTATTATTGTGTATGTTTTTGAATCACGTCAGGTCATCATAACTTTATGAATACATTTTAGATTCACTTCACTACAAGTAGGTCGATGATTGTTAAATTGTTGAATGGTAATTGTTATTATCTTTGTACGGTACGATGCATTAAACTACTTTTTGAAATTATATTTTCAAAGCAATAACATTTTTGCACGCATGTTTTTATTTGGTTTTTTAAAGTTGGTTCAGTTTTTTAAAGTTGGTTCAACTATTATTGTGTATGTTTTTAAACACTAAAGATAAGAACTTCATGAATACATTTTTAGATTCACTTTACTGCAAGTACTGTAGGTTGATGACTGTTCTATCATTGAATAGTAATTGTTATTATTATTTCAATTTTATTTATTCAATTTTAACTGGTGGCCATAACTTAAAGTTTGTATAAACTTATTTTGGCCTCCATCCACACACTTATTTATTTAATATCTAATTTACAGTATATATGTATGTGTGTGTGTTTGTGTGTATATGTATGTGTATATTATACTGTATGTGTATAAGAGACAGTATATACATTATTCTCCTGAAGACGATTGAAGCATCTCAATTGAAACGTTAAGACTTTCTCAACAACAACAGTTCTTTTCAGAACTACTTACGTGGTGTACCGCAAGCTTCAACATACCGCAAGCTACAACATACAACATACAAACAAACAAACAATTATTGTGATGGAAGAGACAATACATGGATTTGCATCAGGAGAATCAATTATATGTGTAATTTTGCCCAAATTGTCGTGACAATGTACTGAATACTCAGTGCGTGTGAAAACACTTGGAAAAAATATTTGCAGGTTGTTCTCTGGGGGGACTCACGATCACCAGATCACTAACCTGCATCATAATTCTACTAGACCACCGAGCTAGCACCTGATTGCCAGGATTGAATTCGAACCTATTTAAGCAGGGGGTACTATTTTTGGAAGTGTTTTCACACGTACTGAGTATTCAGTACATTTTCATGGCAGGTTGGGCAAAATTACACCTATACATAGTTTTATTTTTGTCAATATTATACTATCATAGACTCATGAAATACCTAATAGGCCCTAAACGATAACATGTGACTTGACCATAGTTTTTGTTCTCAATATTCTTGAATTTAAAAAAAAAATATATTTTGGAGATATTTCTGAGCATTAATGCCATATCTGTTTTTAAACATCTCAGAATGTACGAGCATTAAGAGTTTCGCCTAAGTAGACCCACTAAGGCTCTGTCTCTACATCCGATCAGGTGCATTTTTACCAATTTTATGTAGGGCCCGGCAGTTATCTATGTTATGCTGATGATAGGATAGTGTGGATTAAACATTGTCCTAATGGTAATGTTCAAAATAAGTGTCAAGGAAAGTAAGTATGGTTGTTGGAAAAATGTTTTTCTTATATGAAAATATTAATTATTATGCATTTCTCTCTTACAGCTTTCCTCAAAATTTAGACATGGCTGGAATTTGTAAGAAGAGCTCTGTGTCACCACTCATCGCTCTGATTGTCGTTTTTTTCGGTACTGGATCCTGGGTTGCAATCAATGGATTGTGGGTGGAACTTCCCCTTCTCGTTCAACTAGGTATACCAGAAGGCTACCAACTAGCTTCGTACCTTACAATTATTATTCAAATAGCAAACATTGGGCCACTATTGTTTGTTATTATATCGTATTTAACACCAAAACATGTTCGATTAGAGGTTCCAACCATATATATAATTGTGTCGATCGGTATAACTGCTTGTGTTTTGTTGATATTCTTTTGGGACGTTACCACATACTGGGATGTTGTGGATGATTATCGAAGCACTGCGCTATTAGTCTTGGCATTTTTTCTATCAACCGTAGATTGCACATCATCAGTTGCCTTCACACCATTCATGTCGCGATTTACAAACTTGTACGTCACCTGGTATTTTATCGGCGAAGGGTTCAGTGCACTTTTGCCCAGCCTAGTCGCTCTTGGTCAAGGCGTCGGGGGAGACAATGGTTGCAAGGCAAATTTCACGTACGTCCAGTACATCAATGGAACTGAGGAAAACTGCACGGACTGGATGACCGATGTGAAATCTGAACGATTCCCACCAGAAGACTTCTTTATTTTCTTAACAGCAATGATGAGTTCTTGCGGTATTGCATTTATTTTGTTGAATTACTTACCGCAGGCAAAACGAGAACTCATACCTCAGGAACGCGATGGACCATTACCAGGTATGGAACCCACACCTTCCCCCGCGAGCAGCCAAGAAAGTTACACAATGATTCGGAATGGCTGCACTGAACCGGATGCTTCGGATAAAGAAATAATATCCGAGGGTTCACCAAATATACTGTTATCATCAAAGGAGTCTGTGTATCTTTTTGTTATCCTAGGCTGGGTGAGTGGGTTAAGTAACGGTGTGCTTCCATCCATCCAGAGTTACTCCTGTGGGGCATATGGACTTGATACGTATCTCCTAGCCGCCACAATTGCCAATATAGCCAATCCCATCTCCTGTTTTGTAGTGTTTCTTTGGCCACAGAAGAGTAGGACCTTAGTGACGGTGACAGCAATTCTTGGAACTGTCTTTGGATCGTTCTGTATGACAACCGCTGTTCTTAGTCCATCGCCACCATTACAGTTTTCTACAGCTGGTGACATTTTAATAGTGAGTGAAGTACAATTTTATTTTTTCATTGTTTTTGTTATCATTGCATGTTTATATGGCTGGCAATCTGATTTAAAAAAAATTTAATCATCTCTTTCCTTGAAAATTATGTACCATTCCACTAATGGTCATGAAAAATTTTTTTTTACCCCCTGCATAAAGAAAATACTGTAATGGAAGCACCCATCACACTTGCATACTGTTCAGTACTTAGGCGGAGGTATGCACTCTATGGAACAACTACTTTGATTTGCATATATGTTATTAGTAATATTTAATTCTAATTATTTTTCAGGTCTTCTGTTGGGTGTGCGTGTCTGGATTCTTCACATACACCAAAGCCACTATAGGTTGGATCCTTCGAAATGCCAATGACAATAGGTCTCTCTTGATATGGTTTGGAGCAGTTACTCAAATTGGATCGCTTATAGGAGCCCTTATCATGTTTCCAATTGTAAACTCCTTTAATTTGTTTGAAGGATATTATGGAGATCCATGCAAAGACAAAGTAAAATGCATTCCAATCGAGTAGTATATTCTGTAGATAGCATTATAGTATATTCATAGAGGAATTAGTTTAAATTATAACACACCTAAATAAATCCCTGTCATTTCATTGGTGGATTTTGTATCATGTGACATTGGATATTTACACCATTCCATCACTCATGGAAATTTATTTTATTTTTTATTCCATCCGTTTTTGCTCATTGCACAGTGCCTAGGAAAGGATTTAAACATAATACAATCTTTTGATTGGTTAAAAAGACATGGGACTGTTGCATTTGGGAAAAGTGTAGACTTTTTCTAAAATATAAAATGACAAGAATTGCCATTCAGAAAAATGTAGTTTTTGGAATAAAATATCAAATGACAAGAATCTTAGGTGTGTTATAAAACAAATAATGAATGTTTTTTATTTGCGCAATGGAGGCTCCGCCTTGTTGAATGGAACAGTCAATCTCTCAACTCATGAAAGCATTCTTTCCATTGCAGGGGCAGATCCAGAGATGTCTGAAGCAGGGGGGAAAACACCACCCCAGGGGGCACGGGGAAATTCCTCTGCAAAACTTTTATTTTCTAGACACCCGAAAATAACATCTAAAGTGTTTTGGGTGATGATTTTTTTTTTGGTCTTTCCAAAAAGGGCCGGCCCTGCATTGCACTCATAAACAGTTATTATTTGTATACTAATTCCTCCATGTTATATTGTAGAATTTATTCCAGTCATAGTTGTAAATATTGGCAATATTAGACTGGTTTATTTCGTATTATTTTCATTTGGCTGCTTCGTAAACCAGAGCGCGTTACTGTAATTTGCAATAAGTTATCCAAGTGACCAAAACAAACATGGCCAATTGGTTAGGTCATCGAAAAAAATTGAATTAATATAATTTAGATTAAATTTCATAAAATAATAATTAATATTTACAGTATATGTAATATAAAGTAAAAAAATACTTGTATGCTAACAGAAAATATTTGTTTACGATAAAACAACTATCACAGGCCGAAGCAACCTTGACTACGCTAGCGTGTATCTCGGTAGCTACATAGCCATTTTGTTTTGTTGAGGATTTGTCTGGTCTGCTTTAAGTATGACTTTATCACTACCGGGCAGGCAGGCGTGGTTCAATTGTAATGAAGAACAGTCAAATACGGCCATTAATATGGTGCTAAGCAGGAGATGAGTGTGGTGCCTAGATATTATGTACAATGCATCGCAAGTAGCCCAACATACCAGACCATGGTTGGTAGTGTGTAAATTTCTTACCATAGATTAGTCTCATAATAGCACCAGTATTCACGATTCCCAATCAAAGCCTTGATTATGCAATGTACTAAAATTGAGGGCAGTATGTACTATCAAAGAACATAAATAGCAGAAGAATGAGCTATTCGAGTAGTTTGCTTTGAAATTGGTGGAGTACATAAAATGAGCCCAAGCAGTGCCCTTGATTATAAGATATAGCGCCACTGTTCGGATGGAGAAAAATTATTCTCATAGACGTTCCACTATATCGCAAGCTGCTCTATCATCTTCTATTTATTATCTTTGGTACTGTTAATGTGCATTTTAGGCCTGTGCTGTTTTGTAATTTTTTTTTTATGTAGGCAAGATGGAATGCCAGAAAGTATACCTTTCAACTTTTTGTTGCCCAAGATTAACCCACTCAAAATCTAGAAAATCTAGGGTCAACCATTGTGCCAAAATGTTTTTCAGTTCTTTTATTATACAGGATATTATTATTATTATTGTAATATTTTCAAATGGACTATTCCACAAAGCCCCCACCCCTTGAATATTGTTGTTAAGGTGCCATAAAGAGACTGCTTATATTTTCCTGGTTTTAGTTTAAGACATTTCATGGGTTAATTTCCATGCCTTTTAGTTCTTGTTTTTTTCTTGCTCCATCTATAGCGACTTGAGCACTTTCTAAAGTGGATATGTGTGCTATATAAATCCTATTAAGCAATTAGAGTAATTGCATATCATACACTGCACTAATGAAAAATTAGTGCACAGTTGAGATAGGAAAGTAACATTGGGAGTTGCAGTCATGATTGACTTATAATTATTATTATTAACATAATATTGCGAGTTTGTGGGACATGCATGTAATTCTGCTTGCAATGCCTATTGAAAAACATGTTCTGATTGGTCAGTTATGTTTAACACTTTTACTGTAGAAAAATATTTCATTAAGAAAATTGTTTTCCTATTAAACACATTAAATGTGGCAAAACCTCAATCGAATCAATGCAACCTATTTAACCTACAGTAGTTAAAAAAAATATGAATTTAAATGTATTTTATGAATTTTAAATGAATCATGCAATCTGTGTGTGAATATAAATACAGTATTCATTAATTTATATTGCATTGCATTGCTGTATATCATACATATCGTATAGGCTATATTTTTAAAGTTAGTTTAAGTAAGAGCAGTTGGGTCTTCTGATGGGGGCTTGATAAGTAGTTGAGCGTCTCAATTTTTTTTGGGGTGCTGGTATTTTTTGCAGGGGCATGTGACCCCGCACCCCTATTTGCCACTTCCTACAATGGACCATTTCACTAAAGGCCCAACAGTGTTGGTATTTTTTTTTACCATAGTCATTGAGGGTAACCCTTCCAGTGTATAAGGTTAGGTGATATTCAGGGGGCCTTCTTGATGATGCTTTATGAGGCTCAGGGATCTTCCTGCAGGATTAGAAGGCAAGCATGTTAACCACTAAGCATTGTTGCTAGGGTCGTGGAGCATCCCCTTGGACAACAGGTAGCAAGCCCTCGACAACAGTAGGTTAATTATGTAATCCAAGCGGCTTGCCATGCCAAACCATCATCAGTGACCAAAACAAGAATACAGTACTGTACTATATTCAGGGAGATGTATTCACATTATCCACATTATAAGCTCTAAACTGATGGATCATTTTTCTGGAATAAACTTAGTATTGCCAAAGTTATGATTAAAATTATTGTATTATGGCTTCTCTGTACTAAAGTATACAATACTGTCTCATTCTTATAATTACTCAATTTAGCAACAGTACACTGGTTTTTGTTTCCCTCAACCTCCACTCCACAAAGAACTCTGTTTAACATTTAGCAACAGTCCACTGGTTTTTGATCCCCTCAACCTCCACTCCACAACGAACTCTGTTTAACATTTAGCAACAGTACACTGGTTTTTGTTCTCCTCAACCTCCTCAATGAACTCCACATTTTTACTGTTTTGTGAATTCCTGTATTATTGTTGTGATTGTCTGCAGCTCTCAAAAGAAGAGAAAATAGATTTATTTTTATTTAGGACACAAAAATATGTACGATCATGAAATTAAGTTATAATTTTTTTTATTCAATATCACTTGGTTTGTATTCAATTGAAGTATAGTATTTGGACAGTCAGTACATTAAACCAACATAATGAAATTAAGTTATACAGTACTTTTTTTTATTCAATATCACTCAATGCATGGTGAAGTGTTTTAACTGTTATGCATTCCAGTCAATAAACACATGGATAAGGCTGGTCACCTGCAACACAATATTTCTTGGTTAAGGAAACCACAAGGTTACAGGCAAGAAAATACACAGGCTAACATTTTTAACCTTCCTGAAATTAATGCACGACTGACTTCCAGTCCCAATAAATTAAATGATACAACAGAAATTGACAATGCTGTCTAGTCAGTCATTGTGCCTTATTATTACTGTATGGCTGTACCTTCAAACTTCTTCCCTAAGCTTAATAAACTTTCCAATATTTTTGTGGATGACTGGCTAAACACAATAACACAGGCTATGCATTTTATCAGTGATATTTAACCTGGCAAATATGAGTGTCGGTTTCTGTGCGATGACAATACGTATTACTACTAACAAGGCCCTTGCCTTGAAAAAGTTTTTCTTTTATCAAATGGATATATTTTTGTACAAGGTATCTTTTTTTACAGATGAAGATTTTTACAACACTGGGATGAAATAAAATAAACATGTATCATGCACCAGCAAACAGTTACAAACCATTTTACAGAGATTGACAACTGCTATAAATATACCTAGTAACTAACTACTACTCAATAAAAAAACATTATTATAAAGCAACTGAATATCACATACACAGGTGACTTATAAGACTGCTTATTAAATGCATCATAAATGAACAAGCAATTACTGCTGCTCAAAATTATCTTTAGTCCCACTACTGATGAACAATATCAGTGGTAGATCCAGGAATTCAAAATAGAGGGGGAGGAAATTTTTAAAGATGGAGGGTGTGGCCCACCCCCACCTGAATCTGTCTGTGTATTTTAGTACATGGATACTAATATGACCCTCCCAAAAGCTAATGAAAGTATGAGAATTTTATTAACTGCCTTGTGTGAAAAGAGAATGAGGATGATTACATCATCAGGAATGATTACATCATAATGCCAATTCAAGATTGGATTGTTCCATTACTATCAAAGGTGTCTTAAGAATTATAGTGTATATTTATTAGTTTATCTAGAGCATGTAGCCTTCATGAATTTTGTACTCATTATTTTAGAATGCAATGTGACTGGTTATGAGTGGGGAAAAAAAAAAGTAATACACAGATATATGAACTACTTATCTCTATTTTACCTTTTAGGTAAATTATATAATTAGAAGCTAGTTTGTTTTAATTTTCAGATGTTTAATTAGCTATTTCAATTAATATTCTTTATAAATAATTAACACTGAGTGCATTATTGGCAACCATGGTAACATAACATTGTTTTGCTTCTAAATAAATTCAGTCAGCCATGATCTAGTTCAAAAGTTATTCCGTTAAAAAAATTAATATTAAAAATTATAGGGAAAAAAGCCACACACACATTCGCACCCACATAAGGAGAATAGTCAAGCTTCTTTTTTTTTTTTAGTTTAAATATAAATTGACAGCCCATGTTTAATATTTAATTATTCTAAGCAATATTGCACTGTTTTGCCAGTATCATAACACTGACAAAGTGTTACTGCTTCTCTGTCTGTTCGCAGTCAGAGAGCATCAAATCTTGTTTTTGCAAATCTGCCTTCTCAACTACTGCTATCAAATAGCACCATTATTTCAGATGCACATTCACTTCACTCAATTCTACTACTTCAAAAATGAAAGGTGAAAATCACATGCATGGACAGGTGTCAATTCAACCGCAGCTGCAACTGTACCATAAAAGACCTTATGACTGGGTTTTGACTCCATACTTAAGTTGTGCTTTATGCCTTTTCAAAACTGCATGTCTTGTTCAGAGTCGGGGCTGTCATTACCATCTTCATCTTCCTCAACCTCTTCTTCAAAGTCTCCAAAATCATCAATATCTTCTTCTTCAACACCAGTCTCATCTGCTGCATCATCATCTTCTTCCTCCATATCTTCAAAGTCTTCCATATCGTTGACATCGTCATCATCCTCTTCCTCCTCATCTACTGCAGCTGAGTACATTTGCATATCTTCCTCATCATCATCATCTTCAATCCTTTCTTCATAATCATCAATCTCTGAATCTGGACCATCATCTACTTCATCATCATCATCATCTGCTTCTTCATCTATGTCATCTTCATCATCATCTGCATCTTCTTCATCCTCTTCATCTTCCTCATCATCATTCTCAGCATCTTCATCTTCGTCACTTTCTGTTCTTTCAGTGCTGGCTGCTGATCCATTGCCCGTCGATTCAAGACTGGCAACTGTCGAGTCCTGTTCCAGCTGCTGTAATCCTTGACCAGGAAGAAATGGAGAGTAGAACATTCCAACAGATGTTGTTGGCAACATGTATGGTGAGACTCCAGAGTCCAACGAGGATGTCGGGACATCAAGGTCACTATTAATTAGCTCGCTGTTGCCATCATTAGCAATTTCAGTTTCAATGCCTTGGATGTCAAGCATGTTACCCTCATCATCCACTTGATCTGTTATTGATGATGACTGAAGATCCAGGACTTGGTTGAAGCCTAGTTCGCCAAGATTAGAAAGATCTCCGGTAAACGACAGACCTCCTAGCCCAGAGGAGCCAACTTGCAATGAGAGTTTATGACTAGAAAGTTCTGATGCAGTTGAGCCAATGTCACCCAAGTTTGACTCCAGTTTTGGTTCCGAGATTGCCTCATCTTTTGGAAGGGGTTTGGCCTGGATTCTGTCATACAACTCTTCTGGAAGACCAACCTAAAGAACACCAGATAACAGGATAAATATTAGAATGTCCATATCTAACTTCAGTATTCTAGGGACTAAGCTTTAAGTACTAGGTAATGTAAATCAGACAGGTCTGGACCCCCACCCGCACCCCCTTGTCGTGCGAGGTCGGCACAAAAATACAAAAATTAATAACGTTATGTTGATTGCCAATATCTAATATTGTGTGTCTAAAAGCAAAATTTGTATCAGACTAGGCCATAAAAACTCTCCCTGTGAACCCTACCAGAGATTTTTTTCATTCCTTGACCACGACCAAGGCTCTGTTTGGCCCCTTGGTTCGGACCCCTAAGTCAGACAATCCAGGCCCCCTTGTCAACAAATTTCTGGAGCCACCACTGATCACAGCAGGATTGGACCATTCTATTACTTCCAAGGGGATTTCACAATGGAGAAATGGCACCATGTTTTATCATATAAATATACCATTTTATCATGTAAAAATAATAAACAATGCTTACTGTTTTGACCAATTCTTCCCATTCATGCCTGACATCAAATTCTGGGTTCCTATTCAACCATTCTGTGAGCGTGTGCAATGTGGGGCAGTATTTGCCCGCCATCACTTGATTGGTTGGTCGGTGAATTATGCCAATTCTCTCCTCGCCTGTCAACTTTGAGAGGACTAATTTGTCTGGATTGCGTAGTCGTTTGCTCTTCTTCTTTTCTGACTTCTTTTCATGCTTTTCATTAAGGACCTATACATACAAATAACACAAATTCATTCATTGCTAACATAAGAGTGATTTAACTATCTGATTTCTTTCCATGCTTTTCACTAAGGATCTATACATACAAATTACACAAATTCATTCATTGCTAACATAAGAGTGATTTAACTATCTGATTTCTTTTCATGCTTTTCACTAAGGATCTATACATACAAATAACACAAATTCATTCATTGCTAACATAAGAATGATTTAACTATCTGATTTCTTTTCATGCTTTTCACTAAGGACTTATACATACAAATTACACAAATTCATTCATTGCTAACATAAGAGTGATTTAACTATCTGATTTCTTTTCATGCTTTTCACTAAGGACCTATACATACAAGTTACACAAATTGATTCATTGCTAACATAAGAGTGATTTTATTTCATTTCATTTATTTCGCCTTTTTTTTTTTTTATCATAACAATACAGTAAAACATTCAGAAAATTCGAAAAGGCAATCCATGTTTCCCCCAAGAGCTATCTGATTTAACTATCTGATTTCTTTTCATGCTTTTCACTAAGGATCTATACATACAAATTACACAAATTGATTCATTGCTAACATGATAGTGATTGAACCATCTATTATTAAGTATTTTTAATTACGGTATTCGCTTCTTTATCAGAATTCAAATTGTAATTTCATGGTGAATCAGTTCTAACACGCCTGAATAAATTCATCATATAAAGAAGTAATAATCAAGCTATCATTTCATCCCGACTCTTGAATCCTCCCCCTGAATTTACTTTTTTATTGAATAAACAATTTTGGAATAAATAGAAGAAAAGCTTACTTGTTCAGTAACTGCATCATATGAATCATGCTCCACAGGTGGGTAGAACACCTGATAATCCGGATGTTGCTCCAGGAATGCTTCCAGGTCCTTTTTCAAAGGTGCTATGGAACCACTCAGGAATTCGCCTGATGTTGGATTCACTACTGCTACGGGGTCATCTGGGACAGAGAAAGTATAAAACAAATGCTTAATTTAACCCACAACTACAAATTATAAAATACCAGATTCAAAATCAACATTTTAGTGTTGGTTATGAGACACTATTTACTATGCACCAACTACAGAACGCTATTAAGCGGACACCTTTGTTAGCCTGTAGTTTTAAATGGGGGAGGGGGGAGGGGAAGGTTTGCATCCCCACCAAAAAAAACTTTCCCTCCCCCAGACTCAGAAAATGCTCAAAGAAAAAAATTATGTTCAGCTAGTTAAAAATAAACTTATTTTGCAAGCTAGCACCCCCTAACCTAATCATCAACCCTCCCCAAATTTACCGGTTCCCCCATCATCCCTCTCCCTGTATTTCAAGACTCCTGGATATTTCATTGGTAGCAAAATGTTCCCCTTAATATGGGTGGCCTAAAGGAGGGGGTTCTACTGTATGTAGTATAAACCAAGATGGATAAATTGACAGGTGGGTTGGTGGATTGGTGGGCTGATGGATGGATCAACAAATGGGCCAGTGGGAAGATGGATGGATAGATAGATTGGGTGGTGATTGTTTAACAATTCTGGGCACTTTTTTGGATCTTATGGATGATAAACCAAGAATAGACAAGAAATCAGTACATGAATTTTGTACTAACCATCTCCAAGTTTACTTGGGGATAAGAACACATCTTCATTGTGTTTATGTTTTTTCTTCTTCCTCTTATGATGATGCTTTTCTTCACCCGTATCCTGGAAAAACAAAACCATACTTTATTTGTATAAAGTGTTGATATGCATTTTTTGAGGTTGGTTTTAATTTTGGGAGAATAAAAAAATTCAAGTTTGATAACAACAATCTGGACATATAGGTCAAAGTTCAACAGCAAAGGTGTATTCACACTGAATCCAATTATCGCATTTTCTGTGACAAAAAAATGCTGTATGCCCATATTTAGTCATGATGTGCCTATATATGGTCATGATGTGCCTATATATGGTCATGATGTGATGTCATCATGACCATATTTAGGCATGTCACATGTTTTTGCCAAATAGAATTTGATAGTGTGAACAGGACTTTAGTTAATTCACCTCTGATTTTCTCTTATGTTTGTCTTTGTGTCGTTTCTTCTTCTTGTGGCCTTCGGCTCCTACTTCATCTGTGAGCATTTCAGTACCCTTGAGCAAGTACTTTGCAGCGCTGAGTCCCTGAGATAAATCAAGCGCCATATCTCCACCTTCTGCTGCTTGTAAAATGGCTGCTAATTTTGCTAAAATTGAAAAACATCACTTAAGACATTAACAAACATGAAGAATTCATATAATTTTTAAATCCTGATAATTCTTGGAAACTTTTATTTAACAAATACACTGTATGACATTAGAATATCACTTTTTAATGTATATACAAAAAAGTAAAATCAGATGACTTAAATCAGAATTCCTAAAGAAGAAGCGGTGGCCTAATTGGTAAAATAGTCAGCTTAACAGACAAAGCCTGGGTTCAAATCTTGATTGGGGTGATAATTTTCACTTTTGCAGACTACTCTTAACATTTATATGCACATAAATATACCAATGACACAGATTTCCCAAACTACAGGCAAATCCTGTGTCAACCCTTTTCTAAATCTTGGAACAACCATTTGAGAACACAAAGTTTCATCTGAGTCAACAAGTAGACAAATCACTTCTTTATCAGCAATTCACAACTAACTTTCATGTTTATCAGATCTAACACGCCAGGAATAAATTCATCATTTAAAGAAGTAATTTGTAAGCAGTCAACAAACAGAACACATGAACATGGAGTTACAATTGTTAGTAAGGTTTGTGTGTAAACTTGGTATTTACCTTTTTCAGCTGCTTGCATTTCCAATTTTCTTTTCCTTCTTCTCTTTTTGTGTAACAGCTGGGCAATCTCTTCTAACGTCTGAAAATGATTTAAACATCTTTATTCATGTGTTGTATTTAGAAATACTAGCACATTTTTAGTACTTAAATTCACTACCACTAGTGTTGCAGATACAGGCCAGGGACTTGAATACTTGCACCTAGAAGCTATTCTTTTGTGGAGAACATTATTTAGCTTGTGACGCTGCAAGGGCCTTAACTACACCAACACACTCAAGTGCCAGTTCAGAAAGTTTTGTAAAAATCTAAAAATAAATTTACGATGTTTGTTGTATTATTACATGTAACTTTGGACGCCCTTTAAAACTAGTTGTAGCAAATAGAGAAGATCTGTGTTGTACCGCATGGCAGCGAACGAAGATGAATCGCAACTAACCTTGCCCTCTGTATTGATCTTAGCATTGGCTGCTGCTGCCAACACTGACGCCATGTCTTGACCAAACGCTACATCCGGATTGACTCGATGCCTTCGGCCTGGCCACATTCCCTTTAGCACCAAGTGACACAATTGTTCCAGACGATGAACGATAACTCGATCCTTTTAATAAAATTAAATTCAACATATCAATTATCGTTCATATAAACATTTCTGATTGCAACAACTCTTAAATTGCAATTGGTAACTCAATCCTTTTAATAAAAATAAAATATAAATAAATTTAACATAACAATTATCGATTAAATAAACATTTCTGATTGTGGCCAATCTCAAATTGCAATTGGTAATTCAATCCTTTTAATAAAAATAAAATATAAATAAATTTAGCGTATCACTTTTGGTTCATATAAACATTTCTGATTGAGTCCAAGCTCGAATTGCAACAAGAGAACAAATCAATACTATTATAGATTTTTACACATTTTTTTTTTGATATGCAAAAGTTTTTATTGTTTAATATTATTTTTATTATTTCATAAATATATTCACATAGTCATTGTCTTTAACATTTAATAATTTTATTATTTTATATTCAATCCTATCAGTACTGAGTTCTGCTGTGATCAGATAATGAGATCTGTAGAAGACAGATTTCAACTCATTGAGTCCCAGCACAGACCAGCTGTGTGGACATTCAGTATTAGCATGGCAAATCACCATGCACAGCACAAGTCATGACAAAAATACTATCAAATTTATTGACAACACTAGTCTATGCCACCTCATTAAAAATTTAATTCATGAATGTAGAATAATAATGAACTAAAACAGGGATAGGAATAAAATTGGTTCGGAGGGACAAATTTTATTATTTAACACTAGCACACATAAACGTTGACATTTCCAGATCAAACATATATGCACTCTTTTTACAATTGCTTTTAATATTGATAATCTTCAGGCTGTAAACACAAGGGGATTTCTTGCCAATGTTTATAGGCGGCCTGCACTCAAGGGATTTAGGGTCGCAAAAAATAGTTGTATGGGCCGCAAGTGGCTCGCAGGCCGCACTTTGCCTACCTGCAAATCCAAAACATTAGATATGGCACAAAACCTTATGAGGAAAAAACCCACCTCAAAAAAATGCACAATACAAATATATAACAAAGAATTTATGTAGACTAATGGTTCATACAATGTGATATATAACAAAATATTGAGAAAAGAAAAATTCTGAACTCACTTTAGGCCAACGAATTGCATAGATAAGATGTGGGTTCCATTGGCCACCCTCTTGGTTTGTTTCATCACCGTTCATAATCTTGCTTTCATTCTCCTCTGTTTCAATTGCACTATTGCTCGAATCTTTCAAATGTGGGTCAGAGGTCATTGGCTGGCCATCCTCTGCCTTTAACTTAGTTTCTGATTTCACAGTTCTATCGTTCCTATTTTCAATTCTTTGTGCCAGCATTGCATTGTGGGTGCTCTCTAGAGGCATGTCTTCACTAGACTGAGGTATATCTGTCATTGAATTGGAACCAGAGTTCACTGAGTTTGGAACCCCTGTGAACACCGAGGATTGTGGGTACTTATCTTTGAGTTCAAAGAAGGATAAATCAGGGTCGCTCATCATTTGCTGTTGTGATTCCATCCTATTCACTCCATATCTGAAATACACCAATTATATATGTAAACAAAAATTATTTACATATTCTAATCCAAAAGCCAAATGCAGAAATATGCCATCTTGTAAATATTAGTTCATCACAACAACACTATAGAAATACCTTGACCTTTGACATAATCATGAACACTTGAAACTACAAGATGGTTTATTATTTCAGAATGAGTCTCACTACAAGGCTTGGGGAATGCCTGAGAGCACAACATTCAGGACTTAACACGATTTGAATTCAGCATCCAAGGATTAGATGTCAAGCAACAGCTCTACGATCAGTATTTTCCTCCAAGCCAAAAATATGTTTTACTATGTGAAACAAGAATTGATTTCAATCATATGATAGGCACTAAAGCCTTATCCAGACTATCAAATTTTGTTTGACAAATATGGTCATGATGACATCACATCATGACCATATATAGGCACATCATGACCATATATGGGCACATCATGACCATATATAGGCACGTCATGACAATATATGGGCATACAACAGTTTTTTTCAAAGAAAATTTGATAGTCTGGACAGATCGTAATGTCACATCTTTGTTGCACCTTGAAAATCTCTTACCTGGCTACACCCACTATAAGATCATGGTCATGTTTGCCTAGCTCCCACCATTCTGGCAACTCCATACTACGTTTACAAAACTTCAGTCGTTCCTCCAGTTTCGGATGGTGTAGAACTTCATTGCGTACCTTCAGAAGGAGGTCAATTCGGTGTAAACATTTATTAGCCCGCTCTTCAGAGATTTGTTCTATAACAAAGTCTGGACTTGGTCCATTATCTGTAGGGAAAGAAAGAATTCCGAAAGCCATTGTCATCAATCAATCATTTAAACTGAAGAGAATGCAATTATTATGATATTTATTATTCTTATTCCTCCAACTGGAATTATTCTAACACCCAATTTTCTTACACTTACAAATTTACGATGATAGCAAAGTGTCTACTGCCTCCGTATGATGGACAAATGGAATACAGCAACACTAGATGGATGGATGGATGTATTTGTTGTAAACACCAAGGACAACCCACGAAAGTCTGAAGAAGACTTATTTCCAGCGGGGTCCTCCTGGTAGTGATTGGGCAGGAACCCCTACTCTTTTCCGAAGAGTGTACTGCGTTCTTTAACGTGCACATGGGCCATAATGCACACAGGACCAACGGCTTAACCATCTCATCAAGACCGCTGCGCTATCGTAACTTGCACTTCAGCCCTCCAGCTGAAACACAAGGAGAGCAGTGATGGGAATTGAACCAGGGACCTAGAGATCTCCACGGTTCAGTGCACACACAGTGGCTACCACCAGTTTAGTCGACTAAGCTGCTCTCTCAACACTAAAATACCATGGAGTCCGAAGCAAACATCTGTAATATTCCCTCCCTGGGTTCCCTCTATTTCAAAATTCCTGAATCTTCCACTAGCAAAAACATCTGCAATCACAGATGACTGTCTTCACACAAGTTAAAGCCTCCTATTATCCTAAGCTCTGTCCAGATAATCAAAAACTGTTGCATGCCCATATATAGTCATGATGTGCCTATATATGGTCATGATGTGCCTATATATGGTCATGATGTGATGTCATCATAACCATATTTAGGCACATCACATATTTTTGCCTGGACAGGGCATTAGTGCTTCCGGTTTCAACTCACAGAGCTCTTTTGGTATCTCTTGAAGTCGATTGCACACTCTGAGGCACATGGCTCGGAAGTGATGATAATATTCCACCATCCTTTCGTTCTTCTTCCTTTCCAACTTGGCAAGTTTCTTGAAGGTATTCCAGTCAAAAGTGCCAGTAGACTGGTCGTACTCAACACCAAAGGCAGCAAGAATTCGATAAAAGTCTGCCTCTTCTCTTCGTGACCATCTGGAAGAAAGATCAACACCTTTACTAGAGGTAACAGTAAAATTAATATGTTACTCCAACAGTCCTTGTGTCAGGAGATTAATAACATGAACTTTTGCCCTATCTGCCATGTTGTCGTAGTGAAAACTTATTTTTCAACACAGTGAATTACTGTCTATATAAACTTACTTTTGAGCACTCTCTTGTTTACGAATCATCTTCTGTTTCATGGCCTCTTGAACACGTTCTTTCTTAACTTGTTCTCGCTTTAAGGATAAAAATGAAACCAAATCAATACAACAAAATTTACATAATATAAATGTTAGTCATTGTTACTGTTATAATGATTATCATTATCTTTACTGTTATTATTGTCTTTATTACTTGATACATGTATCAGTACTTAGTCTTGCTGTGATCAGATAATGAGATCTGTAGAAGACAGATTTCAACTCATTGAGTCCCAGCACAGACAAGCTGTGTGGACCCTCAGTATTAGCATGGCAAATCATCATTTCAAAGCAAACTCAGGAGGTACAAGACACAAAACAATCACTTTAAAATTGCTGCAGCTTACCTCAAAACAGTAACATTTTACAACTTATTGTAAGGAAGTTTGACTGTCCATATAGCATGGGATAACTAAATATATTACAAGCCTAGGGTAGATAAACAGGGGTACCAAGTCTCCCGAAAATTGGGGCTCCTCGACGGCACTCCCGCAAGCAAGCAAGAACCTCTCGGAAAATAACTTATCTCTCGCAAATTCATTAATTATTTGTATGTTTTTACTACTCCATTATCAATTTTCTCATGGAAGTCAGTGCCAACAGGTATTGCCATGCGCAGCAAAATAAAATTAAATATGTTAAGAAAGTTCATTTAACCAAATCTCCCCGGAAGGGATTTCTTTCAACTTGGAACCCCAAATCAAATCGAATTTTAACTGATATAATCAAATGGTCAATCAAGATCATGCAACAATTCAAATAGAATTAATTAAAGGTCATCCAAAGGTTATATTAGTGATCAATCCGAGACCGAAGGGTAAATTGAGGATAAACCTCGGTAAAAATATTAACCCAAGGTCTTGTTTAGTTAGCAATTACTTAGATACTTTCAATATTGCATTAAAAAAAACCCAGTATTTTTTTACTCACTCGTTCTCGTTTTGCTCTCTTCAATTCCATCTTTTTGTAATTTCTTTGATAGGCTGTGACAAGACGACGTAACCTGGTATTCAAATCAGGTGCCGATGGGAATGGATATTTACCTGGTTCAAGTGATTCTGCAACAGCACAAATAAAGAGAGTTTTATGTTTTTATAGGTGTAAAAACCAATGACCAGGATAATAACGGTTGTCTTCGTAAAAACTCAGCAATTTTCTGACAGAAGAACCAGAGTTAATCGAAGAACAACCGAAATAGAATTGCAGGGTTCTTGTGCCATTCTCCACAACCGAATGTTGTTACGAGACACTACAGTGTTTCAATATATTATGATGCATATCTGGTTTTTAAGACAACATTTCCAAAGGGTTGGTAACTGGAGGGCTTGTGTCATGGGAAAGTATGGCAAATTATTTTGGGTCCTACGGGTAAAAGGTTGCTGACCGTAGCTGTAAAGAGCCCTCCAATTAAAGACCAACTCTAATTAAACACCACTTTTTGCATGCACATCTATCTTTTTATTAATGAGAATAATTTTTCTAAATAATGGCCAATGCTACTGAAGACCATTAAAACCTTGGTCCCAAAAGTGGTCTTTAATTAGAGGGAGACCTGTATATAATAACATTAATATTTTTTAACTCCACTCGTGAATATAGCAATCATTCAAAAAAGATATTTTATGTGGAATTCCATATATTGTTTTTTTTTTTTTTTAATTCATGATCATAATATATCACATAGAATATTAAGTTATGAGGAACAAAAAAAAGTTTTAAGTCAACTATCTTTCTATGACACTATAAACACACTTTTTACTCAGTTTGATTGGTTGTTACTGTTCATTCAGTAATTTACTATATTTATTAATAGGGGTATAACATTTACCTGTGGATAAATCTGCTTTGAAGTGTTTCGGAATAGGTGAGCAAGCTCGTGTACTTGCAGGTGACATTGATTCATCCTTTAAAAAAATATCAACATGCTGTGGTAAGAATTTTATTGTACCTTGTTTTGCGAACCAACAACCCCTAGATAATATAACTTCAAATAAAAATAACATTATATTTTTGGCCTTTTGGAATGGAAGTGTAGGGAGTTTCCAACGCAATGGCTCATTCAGCCCCTGTCATTGTGTCATTGTGGAATGAAGCAGCTATAAATGCCTCTTTACAACTGCTAGGTAGTCATGGATCATGCCCATATGCAATTCAGCATAATAACACTGCGAGTATACAGGATATTCTCCTACCCTACCTTACCCAACCTAAATAAAGGTAATTAACAAATACACTTACATATTCATTGTCACCCTTCATTCCAGATTGGGCACACATACCATCTTCACCTTCAACATCTAATGCTCTGTAATTACATATAAAAATTACTTTTGCTGGTAAAGACGATCATGCAAAAATTAACATAGCATTTAAAACATATTCACAATAATATTATAATCACTTTGCTACAAAAATAGATTACATTATAAATATGTCTCTGTAAAGCTCGGTTTCCATTAAAAATCGCTACACGCTATCGCTGACTCCTCTGGCGATGCTGATTGGTCAGTTGAATCGGGAAGCGTTCCCGATTGCGTCGGGGACAGCTACGCAGTGCAAGGATTGTAGTGAAAACGCTGTAGCGACCGTGTAGCGATTCTACGTAAACCTGGCTTAAGTGTAAAGCAATAAGAGTGAAATAGAGCTTGAACATAGGATTCTGGTATTAGAAGATTGGCACCTTAACCACAAAGTTACAGCTTCACCACAATCTACCATTACTCACTATTTACCACCAATAGTTACCATCATTAATAATAAAGCCATTGTTACTACTGTTCACATTAACATAATTTTCATTCACATTACTTTCATTATCATCATTATTTTTTATTGTTGCCTTTATTATCTTATATGTTTTCATTCAGTCAAATCATAATCAGTATTAATTTGTTGTGATCAGATAATGAGATCTGTAGAAGACAGATTTCAACTCAATGAGTCCCAGCACAGACAAGCTGTGTGGACCCTCAGTATTAGCATGGCAAATCATCATTTCACAGAAGCCAGTACATAAACCCTATTATAATGGAAACACCCCTAGAAAAAACAATGGAACAGTCCTTTTGCAGCAGACTGGTACACATTCGCATGTGAATCCGATCATGACCATGATCTCTGAGGGAATTTGGATTTACATTTGGGAGTGCATAACATACATGCTGCTATTTGATTATTATTATTATTTTTTATTATTTTTTTTTTTTTTACAGGCAGTTCTCACTTCATGGCATTGGCAATTTTTCCATTTATCCAAGTAATTATTCTCAAAATAGATGATGTCCATGTATTTAATATAAATGTGTTGATGGTGCTTACCCATCTACCATATCATCGTTGGCTTCTTTAGCTAGGGCCGCTTGATCAGGTGGTCCACACCTGTCTAAGAAGCACAAACCAGAATCGTTTCGCATCTGGAAGTACTTTTCATAGCCTAGGTAAAATGCACAGATTAACATCAAAATATATATTAATAAAATGTTATTTACACATGTTTAAGATAAGGCAAGACATTTTTTATACTTTGTTTTGCATACTTATTTTTTTAAAGATTATTGAAGGTGGGCGGAATAAAAATGAAAATTAAATTTTGTTTTCTTATTTATTTTTATTTTATTTATTTAATTCTCATAGCAAATAGTTTTGCCAAAATCATACAGACAGAGGAGAAAATAAAAATAAAATATTATTGCTGAATGTAAAATAGGATGGTTAAATGCTTCAAATTTATATAATTAAGAAGAAATATACATATCTTATCTTTAGAGATTTCAAGGCAGCGGAGGGCGTAATAAAAATAAAGAAAAACTTTTATTTTTTTCTGAAATTTCCACTTTTTCTTGGCAGCGGGTGTGCTAATTGGCCAAAAATATAATTTTAATTTTAATCAAAATCATAAATATTTGCAATCGGCGGGTTTGCTAAACAAGGTATAAAAAAAATCCTGCCTAAAGCTCTATCCAGACTATCAAATTTTCTTTGACAAAAAAACTGTTGTATGCCCATATATAGTCATGATGTGCCTATATATGGTCATGATGTGATGTCATCATGACCATATTTAGGCATGTCACATGTTTTTGTCAAATAAAATTTGATAGTCTGAACAGGACTTAAAGAGCAAAAAAATATTATACAATGGTGGTGATGGTGATGTCATAATACCAATGATCATAAAGATAACTAAGTGTTAATTTTGCTGGCTGAAACACAAATTTACCTATCCTTATAGTTAGGGTTGGTGTGAACCCTCACTAATCATCATAAAAATGCTTAGTGAACAAATAGGTATACTACCGGTTAATTAAACATTGCCTAAATATAATCATTACAACAAAGCTGAATACAATCGACATTAACCAGAATCTTCTCCTGTACATATTGCTTTTCAATGATTTTGAAAATCCTTACCGTGCTTGTAGACGCCTACTAACAACGACCGGTCACATTCCTCATCCCACCACATAGCTGGACGATCTCCTTCTGGTACTGGTATTGGAATTGGTAGTTCACTGTAAAGAATTTTGAATTTTACATTTATAAATGTCAAGATTTTGTTTGTAAATACACTCTACACAGGTATATTTGTATAATAACTATAACAAAATAATAATGAAACCTTTGGTACACGATGCGTAACAATATGGTTTTTGAGATAAAACCACTGGTTGATTATCTTGTACACAGTATTATGAATATATTATACAATAGTTTTATAATAATAATTCAATAATTTAATATGATTAATATATCATTAGGCTTATTGGTCATATATTATAAGAGAACAAGGCAATTTTGTTTGTGGCTCCCTCTTTTTGAAAAAAGTACACCATAAAATATTAATTGTCATATTGAGATCATCATTGTGTATGTATTATAAAAGCTTACACGTACTTGGGATCCCCACCCCCCCCCCCAGCTTGTTTTGTACTCTCAAGCGATAATGAATAAAATGAATTGACACTTCGTAACATAACATAGCTTACTGAGCTGGTGTGTTGTCAGCTATCTTGTCATTCAAGTCCCCTATTACTTCTTGCTTCAGATAGTAGAGCAATCGGACTCGAAGCAACACTCTGTTAACAAAAACAAAAACACAATAAATCTTTGTTGGTGTACTCACTCACAGGCCTGGGAAAATAATGTTGTGCCTCCGACCAACAAAATTATCTTTATAACATCTTGCTTTAAGGATAAAAACAAAACCAAATCAATGCAACAAAATTTATATAACATAAATATTAGTCATCATTACTGTTATAATATTGATTATCATTATCTTTACTGTTATTATTGTCTTTATTACTTGATACATGTATCAGTACTTAGTCTTGCTGTGATCAGATAATAAGATCTGTAGAAGACAGATTTCAACTCATTGAGTCCCAGCACAGACAAGCTGTGTGGACCCTCAGTATTAGCATGGCAAATCATCATTTCACAACACAGTTTACTTAATAAGTCACCATGAAATATTATTATATAGATAGTAGGAAGCTTTTGAATGCTCGATGACGGAAGGGACACAGAACGTAATGACTTCACATAAATTCATCTACGCATGCGAGAACGTTGAATTCTTGCGGTCGCCTGGATTCTAGGATGCAATTTGGTCAAATCTATATTGTGCAGAGGACGTAGTATGGTCAAGGCATCAGTGAATATGTTCTAGCGTCACGTCATTAGGAAGCTTTTGATTGCACGACGAGGGTAGAACGTAGAACGTAATGACGTCACTAAAAGTCATCTGCACATGCACGAATGTTAAGGTCACCTCATCGAGTAGATTATGGAACGCAATTTGGCCAAAGCTAGTTTTCCTTAAGTTGATTTATCCAGCTGTGCATGGACTTACTTATTGCAATGTCTTTTCAAGTGGTTTTTATATCCCTGGTCGGTTAACAGTTCCTCAGGATCTTTACCCTTGAAGTCCCTATCATAGTTCACTTTGTTGATTTGTTCTTCCTTTCGTTTCTTTCCCTTGCGGCCTCGTGGAACTGGTGCAGACAGACCTACAAATAGAAGCATAACTAGACATAAGTTTTTGTTAGAAGCATGCTTTATCAATTCTATATGTATAAGTTCTCTATAAAGTTGAAGAGTAAATAATTAACATAAAATCAGATTGATCTTGAAACAAACATCACTCTATAAACAAGTACACCCATGCATGTAAAAGTCCTCAAACATTACCATTTTAAGTATCTTGGATAGAACCAGATGAAAAGTTAGGATGTATAAAATAAATCTTTTTGTCTACGAGCTTAGTATTTTTCAGAAACCAACACTAAAATTTACTTTTGTTAAATCCTTTTTATTTTCTTTTTTTTATTTGTTCTTGTAATTTAATGTGCAATTTTATATTTCATTCAGATGAAGTACCAGCAATTTAATGCTTACTAACCTTTGTGATTTCTGTAATCTTTGACAACACCATCTACTAGCGGTGTGATGAGATCCCAGATAAAGCTTTTGATGTTCTCATCCCCTTTATAATGCTTCAAACAATAAACCAACTGTAAAAAAGATAAACAGCAATTTAAAGGAGCAATTCTACATTTTAATTCAATTTTTTAGGGGTTCCTATTTTCCCGCACACAGTGTACCTTTAAAAACTTCAACATGTAAAAAATAATAATTCATTAAATTGTAGTAGTATAAGAATTATGCAACTTTCCTAAATTTTATACTTTGAATAGTTAGCAATGGTGCAAGAACCAATAGCGAAGAAAATCACAGAAGAGTCTTGCAGCATTTTGAATCAATGTCGTCCTGTTCTCAGTCAGTGTAAGATATGTAATAATCATAAATTCAGATCCGTCTTGAAACAAACATCATTCTGAGAACAAGTATAATTCATTGGTCATAGTTTAAGAAGAACAAGGCATGAAGCGAAGGTATGTGTATATTACGACAAGTGGCGCTACCATTATTAGCAAGCATTTCCTCACCATTGTTCTTGATATGGCTTCCACATCCTTCCGTTGAAGCCTTCGCTTGAAGCGTGTATTAGTAAGAAGGTCATCCCAACGACCCCAGCCAAACGTCAACAGACCCTTCTCCACCCGGAAACATTCCAGTCGTGTCCAGCCGGTCTGTGCAATTGACGGTTGATGTTGTCGTCTTGTTCTAGTCGCTTTTGTGGGCTGCACTTGGTCTTCGTTCTCGCTCTCGCTGGACGTGAACTCCACCATGTCCTCATTCTCGCCAAAACGTCTTGTCTGTTTGCGCTGTCGTGGGGTATCAATGATCTTTGCCCTTTGATCCTGCAATAAATGACACAAGTTTAATATTAAACCCTGTCCAGACTATCAATTACTAAAAATAAACATTTCAAAGAGACATACAAACATAAAAGCATAAGTAAAAATTATCCAAGTCATATTACAAAAAAAAATGCATCACTTCTTCATCAGTATTCATAAGTTAAATTCATTAGAAATCAGAATCTAACACGCCAGAATAACTCATCACAGAAGAAACTATATATAATAATAATAGCTTTTCTTAAGCCCTCCAGGCTATCAAATTTTATTTGACAAAAACATGCGACATGCTCAAAATATGGTCATTGGTCACATCACATCATGACCATATATAGACATCTGGACTATATAAGGGCATACAACAGCTTTTTGTCAAATAAAATTTTATAGTCTGGATAGAGTATGGATTTATTTGCTGATTTATTGAAACTATGTTTTGTAAGGCTAATCCACCTAGTAGCAACTTGATCATTTGAGATTCTGAATACATACAAATAAAAGACAATAGTAAACAGTTCACAGTGGCAGAGACGAGAAATTAGCCCTCAGTGGAAACTGGCAGTTCCCAGCCCGCTGGCCCCAGAGAACACCTACGAAAGAACGACTAGAGGGCAGTGGTTCCCACCTTGGTTCTAGATACTTTAACCTTCAAATATTTATTTACTTAAAAAAACATATATATTAAAAACACTAAAATGAGCACATGGTAATGCACTGTCGATCAAAGCACACATACAAATGCTGAACAGTTATGAAATGTTATGAAATGTTTCTCTGTTTGTTATGAAATGTTTCTCAGTTTGTTATTTTCTTTGCTGGGATCTGCGAGGACCAGGGATTTTATCCCTGAGCAGTCCCCCAGGATAAACAATAAAAGAAAGAAAGAAAGAAAAAACAGGCAATTACAAGCACTAGAATAGAATAGAATAGAAATAAAAAAATATTTATGTACTGTGTTGATTGGATTAATGATATATGGCCCAGAGACTAGTTATGACAATATAGACAATATTTATCAGCAATAATTTCTACTTGCCCTTGTCTGGAGTTCATTCGTGTCAAGATCAGCTCTCTTAGCCCACTTCATCCAGAAGTCTGGATCGTCCAGATTGATGTCCGAACGATCAGCGGAAGACGAAAAACTCGCCTTAGCAAACGAAGACCCTTTAATACCCATCTCAAGCTGTATGACTTTGGTTCTTCTCTGCAAGATCATGTCGATGTCTTCCTCGCAGAATTTGCTGCCTGCATCATTATCCTCCATGAGGGCGCCATAAGCACCCTTGCGCAAAAGTTCTTCAATTTCTTGTTTGGAGAATGGTTGTTGCTGAAATGATATCATCATCTATTAAACTTTGTGAATTACATTCAATACATATTGACTGTTTCATTTTTTAAAAAAGAAATGAAGTTGAATACTATCCCTGCTGAACAATAATTATTAAAGAATGGATGGAGTGGGGGGTGTAACACAATGATTAAGATGCTTGCCTTCTAATTAAAGGGTCCTGGTTCAAGTCCTGACAACTGACAGGATTTTCCTCACAAAAAAAAATTAACTCTTTAAGCATCATAAAGACATTTGTGTAGAGTGTGTTGTGAAAGGGATCACAGCTTCTTTTACACTACAAGACAGTGATTAAATTTACTATTGGCAATCTTTAGCCTTTGTACCTGAAAACATTTTTAAAGATAAATAAAAAATAATAATTTTGCTTACACTGGTGCCAACTGTGTCTTTGTCCTTATCTGCACCCGTGCCACGCATGGACTGCAACACGGCTTTATCCAAGCCTAGCTTCATGCTGGCCTTATCAAACATTTCACGTTCGTAGGAATTGCGAGTGATCAGTCTGTACACCTTGACCGACTTCTTCTGTCCTATGCGATGACATCTTGCCTGGGCCTGGAACAAAAGAATGATCATTTTCAGAGAATCAGGCCAGTAATCATATCTTGTTTTCAATCTGGCATGAAAATATCAAAGTGTTTAAAAACAGCGTGAGTGAAAAACATGACTTGCTTCAGTTATGAGTCGCAAGTGTGAACTAGGCAATAATAGGAGCACTTCGGTGACCTATAAAAAGCCCAAATGAAGTAAACAATACAACTAACCTGCAAATCATTCTGTGGATTCCAATCAGAATCAAATATAATCACGGTATCAGCTGCTGTTAAATTGATGCCAAGACCTCCAGCACGAGTACATAGCAAGAACACAAACCTATCAGAATCTATAGAAGGCAGAAATAGAGAATGATCAGGTACAATACCGTGCCTGGAAACAGGGGAATTTCATCTACAATACTTCATTGATGCTTAGTTTATGATTTGCTATAGGCAACACTATGAAATGTATTTGTAAACTTTACAAATACATAAATGTAGTAAAAGTTACAAATGCATAAATGTAAAAGTACACACTACTAGTGCATTCACTAAATTTTATTCATCTATTTAAAAAAAAAATTTTGGTAAGATTTTGCATGCTATCAACATTCAAATACTAGATTTAAAATATCATCTAGTATTTCATCTAAAATTGAATTGTGTTCTGTGCAAACTCAGCGTTGGTGAAGATTGTCAGCAAGCAAGATTACCCCATCTGATGACAGTCATTTTTACATCATTGCAAGCACTGAACATGCCCCAAATCAGATGCCTTAAAGCTCTGGTTAAACTATAGTGTTATGATACAAACTTGTGACTTGCCCACATATGGGTACGATGACATCATATTACACCCATATATGGAAATCCAAAGTATCTGTAACATATAACTGCATAGAGTAGACAGTATATATATATATATATATATCTGCCTCTAAAAACTGTTCTCTCGGGTCAAGGATTCTTTCGCTAGTTCATCTTTCATCCTCTAAATCACTGCCACTGCAAATCACCTTCAATCTTTTAAGCACTTACCTGGTTTTGAGAATCTATCAATGGCCGACTGTCGTAGATTTCCTCGAACACGTCCGTCTATTCTTTCAAAGGGATACCTATGAGGTTAATATAGACAAATTATATTATTAACCAATATTCTACTTAAAAAACCTTGCTCAACATGACACATAATTTCAAATAGTTTTATTATGATTTACTTAAAATAAAAAAGGGGAAAGGGGGGGGGGGGGGACTCGATGATTAAGTGAGAGAGGGCACTGGCTCGCAAAATAAGGTGATATATTTTGAGCTTTGAACATTTATAATGAGGGGGGGGGATGGGGGTGGTGACTGGGTATGTAAGCTTTTTGGGAGATACACCATGTGCACCCCCTACTGTAGATAGGGCACAGTTTCCTTGTCAGTATTCTCTTGTGAAAATCAGTTAGAATCAGAATCTAACACGCCAGAATAACTCATCATCCAAGGACAGTTCATGTGTTAAGCCACGCCCCCTGTACAGATTATCAAATTTTATTTGACAAAAACAAGTGACATGCCTAATATGGTCATGATGACATCACATCATGACCATATATAAAGTCCATTGCTATACCTTTTCTGCATTAAGTAATCTTCCAGAATGTCCAGACATCTGACCATCTGAGAGAAGATAAGTACTTTGTGTCCACCCTCCTTGAGTTTAGGCAGGAGCTTGTCAATGAGAACGAGCTTACCGGCCGACTGTATCATGGCAAGGAGGTGACGCTGAGGGCTGTCGGCTGGATGGAAGTTTGCCATGATCTGCTGCTCAGCACCTTTACACAGACAGACAAAAGTTAATGTTGTAAAAATTTACAGTGCTGCATATTTGACTTTGAATGATGCAACTTAAGTACAAGCTTAAGTATCAGGTTTTAGTTCCAGTTCTTAGTTTATGTTGTTTATTTGCTTCAAGAGGACTAACCTCTACACTATCTTACATAAACTAATTCCATCATTATTCATACAGAATATTTATTATATTATACATTTACTATGTTATTTTATCTTATTGATGAATGTCTATTTTAATGCCTTCTTTTGTATGGTTGTCCAGAACCATAATAAATATAAATAAAAAATTAATATATTACAATATTTATGACAATATTAAAATAAAGAGTAATATAACCTATAAGAACAACCACAGGAAAAACAAGTCTCTAAGAAATGGACACACATAATGGCTAGTATAGAAATGTAGACTGTTCCATTATTTTAGAGGGTGATCTGTTATGGATCAATGTCCATAGTCCTCAATGTAATCTTTATATAGTAATATTATAAATAGGATTAATGAAAACAACATAAAATTTAATGATAGTAATCATAATAAACGACACTTGTATAAAGTTTCTTAGGAAACACTGGCCTACCTTTAATGAGAAATGGGTGATTACAGCACTTCCTTAGTTCCATCATGGTGTTCATGAGGTTCGGTACATTCGCAGTACTGCTGCTTCCTTTGCAGAGAAAATTGAAGTTCTTCTCGAGAATCGCACGGTAGTACTTCTTCTGAATGTTGGTGAGCTCCACCTGACAAAGAATCGAAGAATTAAAAAATATTAATTTTACACTCTTCATATGAATCATCACCAAGTGGGCAGTACTGGTATTTTTCAATATTTTTGCTACTTGTTGTTGTATAAACAGGCAAATATCATGTTCAAACTGATATTTCTGAAGACTATCCACCCATCCCTACAGGTGTGCCATATAAATTAATGATTTATTGATTGAAATACTAAATTCAGAACACAATGACGTGTATTTCTATGTTTGAAGTATGTATTGATACTTTTTCATCATTATTCTAATGATTATGACAATCGTTATAGATAAACTACATTATGAATATCATTCTGTTCTCAGTCAGTGCAAGATATGTAATAATCATAAAATCAGATCCGTCTTGAAACAAACATCATTCCGAGAACAATTAACATGTTTTTAATAATTGATGTTAATATGCCATTTTTTCTTTTTTAAATGATCTAAAAAATTAATAAATATTATTAATTTGCAGTACACCACATAATTAGTTTTGGGAACTGATGTGTTGAGGGTATTGCAACGTTTTGAATAGACTGGTCTATTCGTTTTCGGGAAAATGAGAGATAGTGTCATTCTTGATTGGCTGAAACTAAGGAGGAGCCTGGTGTTAATTGGCTGACACTAAGGAGGAGCTTGATGTGATTGGCCAAACAAATACTAGTTATAAAGTATTTTCACAAATTTACCTCAATGATAGTTTCTTCCTTTGGTGCAAGGTTCTTCTCTACATCTTCCTTCAGTCTTCGCAACATCATTGGCCTCAGCAACTACAAAAGTACAAAAAATAATATTAAACTAACATCATTGGGATTTAATGTTACAAGGATTTACAAAATTAATTCTTGTATGTAACCAATTTCATTCTGTTCTCAGTCAGTGAAATATATGTAATAATCATAAAATCAGATCCGTCTTGAAACAAACATCATTCTGAAAAACAGGTTTATAGTACATTTGAACAATTTAATAAAGTTTCTTAAATATACCTGTTGCAGCTTCTCAACCTGTCTCTCTGTTTTAAGATCGCCAAAGTCTTCCATGAAATCAGTGAGCGAATGAAACCGGCCTGGTTCAAGGAACTGCAGTAAGCTAAATAGCTCCTCAATGTTGTTCTGTAGGGGTGTACCGGTCAGCAACACACGGTGTTCCTGTTGAAAAATGAAAATTAATCAAATTGAAGATTAGGAAAGTACAGATGAATCTGCTAATAGGGTAAATGATAACTTATTTGACTGTTTGATATTTTACAACAAACAGTATATCTTCAATGATGAACATAGAAATAAAATATTGCCTACCATATCTAAAATTTTTAAGCCTTCAAGGAGCTTGCAGTTCCTGTTCTTAAGCCTGTGAGCCTCGTCGATGATAACGGCTCGCCATTCAATCTCGCTCAGCTGCTCACAATCAGCCAGCACGATTTCATATGTAGTGACAAGAGCTTGGAACTTGTACACCTCTGGGATCCGGATACCCTAAAAAAAAAAACATCAGTAGAAAAGTTGTACTAAATATTTTGCTTTTCTTTGTAATGGACCTTTCAGGAATGTCAGTCAAAATTAACAACTGAGCAATCAGAACACCAATAAAGCCGGGCACTCACTGCTCGCGACGGTCGCCAGAAGTTGCGATTTTGAGAAAAACACAACGCCATGACACGTGTGCAACGGATTATCTTCAATGATGATTTGTTTAGATTATCACTGACAATCAGCAAACGGTGTCGTGTCGCCAAACTCTTATAGGAAGTGAAATAAGATTTGTCAGCCGACCATCGTAAGCGAAGTGAGTGCTCGGCTTAAGATTACACGCTTGTCCCATAAACACACGTTTACGTATGTTTACGCTTTCTTTTTATGGGACCTTAGCTACATTATCAAAGGAGTGGAATTCATGATTATTTATTGATCTTCGTGAGGCACCATCACTCCTTTAAAAAGAATTTGAAGGCTTATCTCTTCAATCTTTATTAACTTTCTCATGGTTAATAACTCTCATTAATTTGTTAATCTCTGTAGTTAAATTTCTGTAGTTAAGTTGTTTTGTAGTCAAGTTTTTTTTGGTTTTTTTTCCCCTGAAAAGTCGCACTTCCTTACTTGAGGTAGCGCCGCCATAGGCTTATCCTTGGTGGAAGCTACCGGAGCCCACCAAACTGACGTCGAGGTACCTGCGTGTACACGGTAGTGATGGCGACGCTATCTCAAAATCGGGGGTGCGCACTCCCCCTCCCCCCTTCGCGTTCTTTTGTCTTTGTTTCTTGTGGCTTCAAAAGCGCCTTTAGACGGTTTTCTGTGGAAGGCGGTATATAAATATACAACCATTGACCATTGGGTGGGGCTTATCGGAAATTTCTATTGTATTTCGTTCTTCATATTTCTAATGAAAAAAGAAAATATTCAAACATTAAAGATGCCATTAATAGTTAATACCTAATTTATTATCTTAAAATAAAAATTAACAATCAGAATCTACAATAATGAGACATAAGGTAATAATTAGGTTTTGTTCTTGAAAAAAAAAAAAGATAGTACATGAAATATTTAAGTGACTCATTTACAATAAAATCCAACTTTGAAATGAGTCACTATCTTACCTGTTCATCCTTATAAAACATTTCATATTCAGCAATCATATGTCTGCTGTAAGAGCTCCCGTGGTAGATAACTGTGTTAACCTCACTCCAAGTGTCAAACTCCCTCTGCCAGTTCCCGATTGTGGACAATGGGACGATAACAAGGAATGGCCCCTTTATTCCTGTGTTCATGATCTCAATCAGGAAAGAGATTGATTGAATGGTTTTACCGAGACCCATCTCATCAGCAAGAATACAATTTTGTCTGGTAAAAAAACACAATCCAGCTTAAAATGATACAACAAAGAATAACATATAACAATAACATATTTAAAGAATATTCTGTCTCTGGTAAAAACTAGAAGAACCCAAAAAAATTGAATAACTCACTATAAAGGATCGAATGATCAATGTGACACAAATCATAACAATTTTATTTTCATGTTTATTTACATCACACAATTCTTGCTCAGCGTTGGTGAAGATCGTCATCAAGAAGATAGCAGATCAAAGTGAAGTAAACATCATCGCAAGAATTTTTTTTTCTACAGTATGATTCAACTTTTATGCTAATTAAAAATAGGATGCAGATACATGTTTCTTTCCTTTTTTTTTCCAAGAAAAAATATTCGATTCAAAAAAATTATACAATATACTGGCTGATTCACATCCTCTTCTATTACACATGAACCTACCTATTAATTTATATAAAATTTATATAAAAAAAATAATAATGGGGTGTCCGGAAATAATTAGCTGTCTTATCAATTCTTGCCTTTCAAATCAGAGTTCAAATTCACTTATTTACAACACAAACGCCATCCATCAGTAGAGTAAGTTCAACAAGGGGTTTTAAATAAGAGCCGAATTTGAGCCAACAGTCAATGTCCTGGACTAAATCCCCTAATAGGTGTCAAGTGTGTGAAATTGAATGTGATAATACAAGCATAAGAGACAGTTGGTAATAATGTTCTCTACAAACTCATTACCAAAAAAGCAAAAACATACAAAGTAGTAGCAACTACTTACATCTTGGAAGAATGAGAAGGTCATGGCCCTCTTCTGCTTGTAGCGTCGGATCTTCTGCTGTATACGTGGATCCCCCGGGGTTAGTTTTTCTTCTGTTGCCCATTCGCAGTGCAAATAAGAACTTCAAGACACAAAGATCAATTATTTTTTTTACATAAAAAATGACATAAAAAAAATATTACAAAACAACAATCCACAGCAGGGTACACGGACAGAAATATTTTTTTCAAAAAGGACATTCTTCATGGCAGTGACTAAAACATTCAATCTTAAAGCCCTCACCAGACTATCAGATTGTATTCTGTCTCTTATACAATGAACCTACCTATCAATTTATATATATAAAAAAAAAAAAAAAAAATAATGGGGTGTCCGGAAATAATTAGCTGTCTTATCAATTCTTGCCTTTCAAATCAGAGTTCAAATTCACTTATTTACAACACAAGCAATACAAATCCATAGTAAAGTTGTTGGTTTGAGTGAGGCAATACAAGGCAAAAAGACAATGAGGATGAAAATGTGGATATTTGTGAGCTGGGATGGATGGTTCTATTACTTTTGAGGGTTGTTCCAGGGAGAGATACAATGACAACGGGTTGATAGTGTAGGACAATGAATAGAAATACTGTTACTGCATATTTTACTTACTTATTATACCAGCAAAACTTGAGCCAGTTGAGACCCTCCAATTGATAGTCTCTTAGAACATTATTTCCTTTGTACGTAGGAGTTTCATCAAGTTTTACCCAAGCACTCGATGTTGGCCTTGAAACACGCTGTTAAAACGTTACAAAATACGTATCATTTTATTGCCCTTCTTTATAATATTGAACATCTACATTCTAATAGCTTTGAATATGTCCTACAAATCTTAGCTACATATAAACAAAGGTTGTTAAGTGAAAAACAAACACCCACCTTTCGATCAGCGACTGTTGGTGGTTCTACAAATTTTTCAAACCATTTCACCTTAGTGCCATCGACATCTTCGTCTAGCTCCCAAGTGCTGTCCTCATATGGAAGACTGCACCACTTCACCAGATAGTACACCAATACTTCTCCAGTTACAGGATCTTTTGTGATGGACTTCTCCAGAACCCTGTCCACCTGAACGTAGTCAGGATTGAAAAGTTCTTCATCCATCTAATGATAAAGATAATATGTTAGTATCTATTTTTAGACGACTGTTTATTACAGTCATTCACAGGATCTTGCTTTGGAAATATATAAATATTGAGATGAACCAACTAGCTGCAACACTGCCACTATTATACAGGACTACAATGAAATATTATTGTGGTAGTTTAACTGAGGTTTCTATTGAAAGCATATTTGATGAAGTTTCCTTTACTTAATTCTTCTCTTCTACAGAACTTGGTCAAGAATAGATGGAATTTTCTTGCTGCTTTTTTCCTGTGGTGTATCATAACATTTGATTATTTTTGTTGTGTCATAATTTGTCTTTCCTTATTACATAACCAATCCAGTTACATTGTTGTTCTGTTTTGACTCTTAGCAGATTAACCCTTAAGATATTTTATTTAATACTTGGGTCTTGTTTATGTATTAATCTTTCTCCAATTTACTTCGACAGTGCATTGGTATTTGTTGCAGAAAACAGGAACGAGTCAATTTCTGAGCTGTCTTCAATAAAGACTATAAAGATTACTCTTATTCCAGAAAAAAATTACAGATAATTTTCCGATTTCTATATCATCATTTTAAAAAAATAAAAAAAGTGATTTCTTGCTCAGCGTTGGTGAAGATTGTCATCAAGATCGTGACAGATCAAAGTGAAGAAAACATCATTGCAAGAACGTAAATTACATACTCTATATTATATCAGATTTTAAGACCCAACTGCCTGTGATATGGCAATAATACAAGAATTTATATTGATAACGCGATACTACCAATGGAGGCTCGAGATATTTGCCATCCATCAGTAGAGTAAGTTCAACAAGGGGTTTTAAATAAGAGCCGAATTTGAGCCAACAGTCAATGTCCTGGACTAAATCCCCTAATAGGTGTCAAGTGTGTGAAATTGAATGTGATAATACAAGCATAAGAGACAGTTGGTAATAATGTTCTCTACAAACTCATTACCAAAAAAGCAAAAACATACAAAGTAGTAGCAACTACTTACATCTTGGAAGAATGAGAAGGTCATGGCCCTCTTCTGCTTGTAGCGTCGGATCTTCTGCTGTATACGTGGATCCCCCGGGGTTAGTTTTTCTTCTGTTGCCCATTCGCAGTGCAAATAAGAACTTCAAGACACAAGGATCAATTATTTTTTTACATAAAAAATGACATAAAAAGAATATTACAAAACAACAATCCACAGCAGGGTACACGGACAGAAATATTTTTTTCAAAAAGGACATTCTTCATGGCAGTGACTAAAACATTCAATCTTAAAGCCCTCACCAGACTATCAGATTGTATTTGACAAAAACATGTGACATGCCTAAATATGGTCATGATGACATCATATCATGACCATATATAGGCACATCATGACTATATATGGGAATACAACAGTTTTTTGTCATACAAAATTTGATATTCTTGACAGGGTTTCATATACTATAGACTATTATTCATAAAATAACAATTTCGGCAGTCATCAGCCATCTCTATGCCTAGGCATGGCTTTTCTCCTGAGAGTTGCTGGATTTTATTTTATTTCATATTATTTGATTCATAATATAAAATATACACATATAAAATACAAATAAAATATCTCATATAATAATATTCATATAAAAAAATATGAAAAAAAAAGATGAAGAACAAGAGGATATGAAGCTCACAGAGTACATCAGCTTCCTTAATAACAAATTAGCCCAACATAAAATGTACACAAACTATATTTGCACTATGTTTAATGCTGCTGTAGATTTTGTTGGAATACATACAAATGTCTTTTTATGTATTCCACCGTGTGATTACATGGCAACACTCAAGTTCATAACATTGTATGCAATATTCCTTTATACATAATCTGAAATGTCAGCACTCACTAATTTCGGAATTTGACAAAAAATTCTTCGTAATCCTCTGGTTCTTCTCCCTCCGTGTCCGCCTGTCCTTTCACTAGGCGTACTCCAAGTATCTTGTCAACGATGTTCGCTTCAGCTTCATCAGGATTGTCCTATGAACCAAAATATATATTGAAAACCTGGATGATTTAACATTATACGTTGTATGAAAATTAACATAGTTTAATCTAACAATTACTGTACTGCGTTAACTCACTCTTGTCTATCTCCTATTCAAACTAACTGCGATGTCCCTCCACAACGAGAACCTTCTTATAGGCCATTTGTACAGGATTTATATTTTTCCTTTTGTTTTTTTTGTTTAAAGCAACATGGGAGGCTGTAGACACTTAGCTATCGTCTCACTTGTAAGCTGTTAGAGTAAATCCAGTTAGAGGAATGATGGAATGAGTCATAAGCAAGATAAAAATGAAAAGTTTTCAAACAAAAGCTTACGAAATATGATGCCCTTGCCTAGATAAGACTTGTCTTCAAAGAACTAAAAAGTCAATAATTTGTTACTTGTACAGTTAATTATTCAAGTGAACTGCCAAAACAGAAAACGTGGATGTGTTATGTGATAAAAGTACCCACAAAAAAACCTGTGTCAAACTATTGACACACACTCCCACCCGCAGCCCATTTTTCTAGTCTGTTTACACCTCTGTACTCTTTACTCTTAATAACAATAACTTTCAGATTTCTATATAATTTTTTTTTAAATAAAAAGAGATTTCTTACTCAGCGTTGGTGAAGATTGTCATCAAGATGGTGACAGATCAAAGTGAAGAAAACATCATTGCAAGAACATAAATTCTCCTACAAGACATATGTTTAATAACATTTAAAAAATATAATTACCTGAAAAAATTTAGTTGTTGTAGAGGCAGCAGTAGTAGCAGTACCAGTAGTAGTTGTGACAAGGTTTGCCGTTTCCACTTCTCCAACCACGTCCACCTCAACATCAGCCTCAACGTCAGGTTCCACCAGTGTAGGAGTTGCTTTCTGTACAATTACTGCATCCTCCTTTTGGTTCGGCTTGCCGTCGTCATCGTCGCTGCTACTGTCCTCATCATCAGTAATCTTGAAGTCGTAGTCATCCGTGTACTTCTTACGATTCGTGTTTCGACCAGATCTTCGTTTCTACAATAATTAGTATTAGATCAATTTTGCTTAGGATCTCCAAAACTCAACAATATAATTGTAAGTTGTACTAATAGATCCTTACTGAGTTATTCCAGAGATGGTGGTAAAAAAATATTATTATTCAATAGAACATTCTACAATAAGCATGATGAACTAAGTATTAAATAAATTGTCACAATGAATAGCAACAGTCATTGCAGAGACTTACTGATTTACATGGAAAAAAAAATGCTAGGAATATGTAAAAGCCATGCAAAATATGTTTTTATTATTCCTCCCCTACAATAAAGAAAACAGATCCACCAGCATATTTAGCAAGGATCTGTGCGTATGATCGCAGGGTGCAGCTTATAATCATTCCATGGCGTTGGGTGTACTTTACTGCCTGCACGTACGTTACACCAACTTTTAGTAAGGTTTGCATTCACTTGTGTGAAGACAACAGTATCTCTCTATACCTCAAGAATAATATAATATTTAGTGTTATATTCTATATATTACTGTATGAATAGAGTATAAGTACTTACTTGAATTAATGATTCCTCAGGAGGTGGAGACATCGGTGGTGTTTCATCCAAATCAGACATATCTTCAGATTCATTTCGTTTTCTTTTCTTACCAGCCTTTAACTTCTTCAAAGCTGCTGTTTTCCTATAAGTCATAGAATATAACATCGTTTAAGAAGCATGAAGAACAACAAATAATACGATCTTACCAGTATACAAATTTGGCCATGTTAATTTCAGTTTTGATAATAAATCTCGATTATTAATTACCTTGAATTTGGGGTAGACATATTGGATCATTTTGAGAGGTTGTTGACAGAATTTTTGAGAGGGAGGTCTTGAAATATTACAAAAAATACCATTTTAAATCTTATTCAAATAGCATGTAAATCCAACAAGTAACCAAAAAACACAGCTGGTAAAAAGATTGGGGCTTGCCATTCAAAAATCAGCATCAGTGACTAAAACAAAAAAATAGACTGTATTCCTATTTTCCACATTATAGCTTTAAAATTTACTTAAATTGACTTATATTGCCAAGGTTATGAGTTAAAGTATACAGCTTCTCTGTACTAAAGTATACATTACTGCTACATTATGGTAATTACTTAGTTTAACAATTAGCGACAGTACGCTGGTTTTGGGATAGTAAATAGTTGATTAAAATGATTTGGAAACGTACTGTGCCAATGACTTTTTCTTAGGCAATACTTCCTTCTTCTCTTTTGGTTGTTTTGGCGGTTTTGGCTCCTTTGGCTTCTTTTCTTTAGGCGTCTTTTGTTTCTTCTCCTTCGACTTTTTAGATTTTTTAGATTGTGACTCAGAGACAGCAGGAAGTTCAATGTTGTCCATAACTTTAGGTATATCGTGATGTCCAGCCATCTTGGCCCGTGCTATAGCTTCCGCTACAATGCGATTCGCTTTGTCTTGCGCCGATTGTTTGTTGGGCTCTTCCTCTTTTGGAGCCAAGGTTTTAAGTTGAGCAAATCTACCTTGTCCCTATAAAAAAAATATTTGTTTTAAGCAGGTTAACAAACCAAAGGTATAAAGACTTGCCTTATCAATTTTAACTTATCAATTTACATTCATAACTTAATGATAAGAACGTACAATTAAAATCAGTTGTTAGTCTTTAGAGTGTCTTTGAGATATCATTATGTAAATAATATGAACATACCTCTCCTTTAACCACCATGATGGATGAATTTGATGTGCCGCTACTTGATGCCGTTGTAGCTGTTTTCTTTCCTGCCAACAGGTGAGGTGGAAGCTTGATTTTCTGAGAGACCAACAGTGTTCTTAACCTCTGCTGGAGTTCCTTGATCTTGCTTACATCGCGCTGCTCTCTTGGTATCTTTTGAATCTTTTGAATTTCTTCACTAATTTTTCTTATTTCATTGGCAACTTCTTTTCCTTGCGTTACTGTTATGACTATTTTACCCGCATTAGATGCTGAAGTTGTGGTTTTTGCCCGCAAGGTAGTATTCACAACTTTAATTGGGGCCGAGCTCGAAATTACTGGTGTGGATGTCAATGAGGTGGATGTCAACGGGGTGGATGTCAGTGTAGTGGACATCAATGAGGCGGATGTCAATGGGGTGGATGTAAGTGTGGCGGATGTCAATATGGTGGATGTAGGTGGTGTGGATGTCAATGGGGTGGATGTGCTAACAATGCTCCCAACAGACACCGCTGCAGGTTGGTTGACATTGTGCATCCGTATTTGAGGACGAATTGTTCCTCCTTGCAAGGCACTGGCGACAGTTGGCTGAGAGCTGATGACAACAGGTTTGGTGGAACTCTGCGTAGCAATAGTTTGAATAATGCCAGAATTTGCCTTGCTAAGGCTCGAGTTCGAAACAATTATAGTATTTGAAGTAGTAGATCTTTGGAGGCTGCCTGCACTAGTCATTACCACTGGTTGAACTTGTCCAACTGTGGACTCGCTCGTAGAACTAGCAGTCTTTAAGTGCAATTGCAAAACACCAGCAGAGTTTGGAATAAGCTGAAGTACCTGGCCTTGCTTTTGGCCTTGGGCTAACTGGATAATCTGTCCTGTCTTTTGACCACTACCAGCTACCTGAACAAGTTGACCAGTCTTTTGGCCAGCACCTTGTATATGTATAACTTGTCCAGCTTTTTGACCAGTACTCTGAGCTAGCTGGAAAACCTGGTTGTTTTTTTGGCCTGTTCCTTGAACCAACTGGAGAACTTTCTTTTGGCCACCAGCTTGAGTAGTTACTAAAGAGTTTGGCTGAAGTTGAAGCACCCGAACACCTGAACTATTAGCCAGGGCTTGTATAGAAGTGGCAACCACTCTTTGACCACCAATGTTCAATATTTGTTGTTTCTGTTGTCCCTGAACAACTGGCTGTCCAACAATTCTAACAGCCTGTTGTGTTTGAGTTGTAACAACTCCTTGAGCGGTGGAAGTCTGCGTCACAGAACTGGGATGTACGATACGAATATTTTGTGGGGTTATTCGGAATGTTTGAGCTAAATTGGACTGTTGGCTGGCATTGCGGACTGGAGATATCTGCAGAGTAGGATTTTGTATTATTCGTCCTATAACCTGTTTCTGTGAGCCTGCTTGCACCACCTGGGATGAGCCTGCTTGAGTTGTTATTAGTCTAATCTGATTGGTCGATTTCACAGGACTCGAGACCTGCGTCCCTTGTATAAGCTGCTGGTTTGGTTGGGCTGAAATTAAACGGATTGTCTGTAGTTGCGGTTGCTGTTGCACAGAGCTCGATGCAGTACTTGGTGTAGACGACTGTTCAGCAGCAACGGCATAATCATGATTTGATACAAATGGAACAGACTGTGTGCTGACCTGACTCTGACTAGTCTGAGCTGCATTCACAAGAAGCTGGCTAGCTTGCAATGTTTGTATTATCTGATTTGGTTGCTGAATTTGTACATTTGAAGAAGGTAGAATACCCTGCAAGGCAACCGTTTGTGCTGGTTGAAGCGGCTGTTTTACAGAAGTTGTTGCCTCCACATTCTCAGCAACATTTTCTACTGGGTTTAGTAACCCTGTTTCAGAATCAAGAAAACTACCCAGTCCGAGTTCATCCATATTGTAGAACGATGTTTCAACTTTCAGTTTTGCTTCTTTCTAACGGAGACAGATTCTTTTTAGTCAACCATGACTCATCTGAAAAAAAATATTTCAGTTCTTCAATTTAATGTCGTGTAAAGATATCAATATTGTTATTAATTTATTAAAGTATGTATATTATCCACATAGTTATAGGAATATATATTTAGAAACCCTTGCTTAATTTGTATTTATAAAAGTATAATGTCTGGGGCCTACTTCTTTAATAAAAGCCTTTGGGCACGGAAGAAAAAAAAAATTTCTAAGAATCTACAAGAAAAAACAGAGCTTCTTGATCAAGATTTAATACATTAATAGTATTCGATTATATGTTCTATTCTGTAGAATTGATGACTAATTTTTTTTAATTTCCTATATGACAGTGTAGATAATTCTTAAGAAAATAAAGACATTCTTTAAAATTAAATGTTCGGAGCATTTATTCAAATCATATTATGGCACATGCATAATTTTGTCAGTGCCATAATAATTACCTATTCCTTTATTCTGTAACTAAATGTGACACATGAACACAAGGAAGTATAAAGAAGTTAGTAGACCACCAACAAAAAGATGCACTTCCTGTAAAATTGAGAAATTTGGAACAGCTATTTAAATATTACATTGTATATTACTCAATACACACTGTTCATTGCAGTACAGAGCAATAAATTAAAGAAATGGATTTATGGTTCTGACATGCCATGCATTAAGATATTTTAAATTTTTGGGCAAGTCAGCTCCACCAATCGACACCCCAGATTAGTTTACAATTTTTGGAACAATATCCACAGTGATAAAATTAAGTGATCATCTGCCGAGATATATTACTAGATATCATCTGGAATGAGTGGTAGCCCAACATAGGCCTACACTTATAAAAATATATTGTGTACTGTAGTTTATTACTCTCCCACACATTGATTTGTATTTTTAATTATCACTCAATCAATAATCAACAACAAAATATATATATATAAAAAAAAAACTGCAACAGAACACAATATTTATTATACTACCCAGCAAGCCTAGGCCTAGTCATAGCCCCAAAAAACAACATTTCATAATTATTGTAAAAATTCCCAAGGGCTAGAGGGTCTCGTTTAACTATAAATGAGGTCATCAGGGTGTCACCATGCTTCAAACAGATTGAAGAAGGTAAACCGTTTTCGTTGACCCTCCTCTAGACCAATCAAAGGAACTAGGCCCTACATATATATAGAAACAAAACCAAAATACACAACGTTGTACGGTAAATAATCTTAAAAAAGGTTTGTAAAATCGAACGCCATTACAACGCCGCCATGACAAAACGGAACAAAGAAGGGTTCAACGTTCGTGCATAATGAACGGAAAACGAGATAGAGCATGTTCACTGTCGCGGTGTGTTCAGCTGGCCGACGACGAAGCTTACCCACCAACATCGGACGAAACCCCCCCACAAGCGTTGAACCTGGGAAACATGATATTACTGACTGGCCTAGAAAAGTAATTGTGAACTGATCCACATTTTAAAAGCCAAATTTTACCGGAAAAAGTACCATTAAACACATAAATACCATAAAATATCTTGTGCAAGATGAAAAATTCCAACCGCATTTCGAGTGAGTTTACGGTCGTTGTAATCTGCCTCGAATGGTTGTTCATCACGGTATACCAAGTTCACAATAAGGAATATTACATTGGCTCTGATTGGCCTAAATAATAATTAACAAAAACAGTATTTTTGATAAATACTATATAGACAGCATATTGTCTATCTAATATATCCAAAATGTCTATGCTTTTATAATTTAGCTACATAGTCTGCATTAATTAGATTAATAATCATTTTCTTGGAGATCAAGAAGCCAACATTTTGAGAAAGCGTCCAATCACAACGCGTCTGTTATAGTGGCTTGGTCTGCAAATTGACCGCTAAACTTAGATAGTCGTACAACAAAGCCGATGAGGGCGATATGGTGATTTTATTTGGTTGGATTATAAAGATTCAAAAATTATATGATTTCGCTAAAACTGAATGTACAACCAGACTTCTTATCTGTAATTGGACATATAATACATACAGTACCATGTGATTACGTGGGTTGTTAAATGTACAAACAAATACTACGTAGGAAATTTTAAGAGACGATAAAACCTATATATATACACATATTAGCATAATACAGGCATATATGTATTTTAATAGGCCTATACTATCGAATTATGAACTAACTCAGTGATATTCATATTACTGTATTCTGTTATAAAAAAAGATGATGAGGTGAAGTATAATAAATACCATGTGATTTTGAAGAGACGATAAGCCAGCCATACATACATAAGTCTATAGGCCTATTAGACTAACATGTTTGTCAATCGTGGTGTTAGACACACAATTAGTACAAAAAAATAGTCAGGGATAAAAATCCACATACAAATAAACAAGAGGTTAGGCCTACTACAACCTGAAAAAAATACAAATATAAAAATGACGCCAATTGGCCATGGTATGTGATCAAAGACGCGTGTCACAATTTCGTCAAAACACTGACCTGTGCATTGGTCCGATGATTAACGTTTCATAACAATTGATATTTGTCGATTACTATGAAACTGAAAGAAAGAAATCCAGAGCAACCGATTTTCAATCTATCGACAGATTCTATATTTCAAGCTAACAAACCATGGTTATCCGAAAATGAATTTCTAACAAAAAGTAAAAAGAGAGTTCTGATTATCTGATACCTGATACGTATGGATCAACTGCATTGCCGTAAATGGAAGCAGATTGAACATTGATATGATATTGTGGCAGAAAGGAGGGAATAGCATACAGGGGTGACGCCAGCAGGGGCCCGTGGGAGAGCTTCCCCCACCCCCGTCATGTCAGGTAGAAACCCATAATTCGTCGGGATGGCAAAAATTATGTATGCCCTATGGGGGAAAATCCTGGCGCCACCCCTGATAGCGTGGCCTAATGAAAAGGGGTTAAGTTAAGTTAAGTCAGTACAGTATCGAATTGGACGTTCAATCATACTACTGATTTACGTCCACATAGTTAACTACAATATTTTGTGCCAAAATTGTATTGTTGTGTGTAACTTCTTGACCATAATAGCAATTTGAGTAAACAACCGAACCAAACAATAATAATTACAAAAAGTAAACATTCGCATTGTTGTACTTTGCGTCTCGTTGTGTGTGCCCCTTCTGGACCATGATCTAGGATTGCTGTTTGTTTTTCTTTATACGCAATAAAATTACTCATTTTTTTATGACAGTTAATTGTGACAAAACTGGGCCTCTCCCATCAAAACACACACCTCACTCCCAGACTACGCTACCGTACTGTCATATCTAACACAAGAAAATATAGCCTACATAGTAAACATGAAGTTTGAACCACCGTCGCCCCCCGTTGCCACCGACCCAGTCGCCGACGATTTCACTCGCCGCCGTCGTCATTATACTGCGGCGGATGCAGGATTAGGCGGTGAGTGAGAATCCACACCACCGTCAGGTTGGGGAAGAGTTAAGAAAATTTTGAGAATATGGAACTCAAGGTGCCCGGAAATTGCACTCTCATACTTTTAAAATCTTACCTGTACTATATTTTTAATGAAAAATTAATATATCAACAATAGGCCTACAATAGGCCTACAACCTGCGACCGCACCGTCTGCACTTATTTAGAGAAAAATTTTGTCGTGCATTTGAAGTATTGGAATTGGTTTTTATTTTTTAATATTTTGGGACAAATAGATAATTTTTTAATGTTTGTGATTCGTCTGTAGACTATTGCAATTAAATGAGTTATTCCGTACTGAACAATATAAATTTGAAGCGATTATAACATCAACGATTGGCAAATAAAGCAATATCGCCCCCTACCGTTGAAATCTAACCAGCGTCTGGACTCTAATAAGTTTTCTCCCATGACTGCGATAAGCGATTACTCTTGTTCCGTGCTCAAGTAACTTCCGATATATAGCAACTTGTTACTATTAGCTGTTTATTGTTGTTGTCGTAGTGCTGAGAATAGGTCGATTGATATGGCGCTCTGTCGCCACAGTGACTCACATAAACCAATGGAGTTCAAAGAAAACGACCAAGCTGCTAAGGTTCTAGAAAAATTACGCCAATATAGAAACGATGACAAATATTGTGATATGGTGCTGCAAGTTGAAGGGAAAGAATTTAAGGCGCACAGGAATGTTCTGGCCGCCTGTAGCCCCTACTTCGACACAATGTGCAATAGTGGTTGGGAAGAGGACAGGCGGAGGGCTGCCGTTATCGAAGGCACCACGGCCGACGCCATGGAACACATTTTGAACTATATGTATACTGGAAGTATATCTTTAAATTCAGACAATGTCCATTGTATATTAGAAGGTGCTGACCATTTTCTCATGACAAATCTTAAACAGCATTGTCTGCATTTTTTGGACCGCCATTTGAATTCTTCGAACTGTTTAGTGGTCAAAGGTCTGTCCTACTTGTATGGATTTGAACAATTGCTTGAAAAGTCCAGTAAGTTCATTAGGAACAATTTTAAACAAGTCGTAACCGATTCAGTTGATGATTTAGTTCGGCTGCAGTTTGAACAGATATTAGAATTAGTATCTGATGAGAAAGTCCGAGTAAAAATGGAAGAAACAATTTATAACACCATTTTAAAATGGGTTAAACATGACAGCAACTCCAGAAAGCAATATTTTGCACCACTTCTGAAACATGTGCGGCTTGCTCAGTTGAATCGGACTTTTCTCATAAAGAATGTCGAAAAAGAGGAGTTGGTTCTTGCGAGTCAGGACTGTAGAGATTTGGTTGCTGATGCAAAGAGGCAAACAGATACTACACGCACAAGTTATTGCGGGGACAGTCCTGTGCTGAAACCTCGCAAAGGAAAATTAACAGATGTTGTCGTGATCACAGGTGGTGTTTCCGATCTGGGTCCATCTCATTACTGTTATGTGTACATTTTACACGAGAATAGGTGGACTCATCTGCCGGACTTGCCAATTAACGAATTGCGTTTTCATGCAAGCGCTGTTCTTGATGGAAAAATGTACATTGCTGGTGGAACAAGCAGTGGGCTTATATCCAGTAGAGTGCATTGTTACGATACAAACACAAACTGTTGGTATAATGTGGAAAGTTTGCAGACGCCTCGGGAGTATTTATCGCTAGTGGCGTGTAATGGACGTCTGTATGCAATGGGTGGGATCAAGTGGGATAGGGTGTTACAAACTGTTGAATGCTTTGATCCAGAAATGGAGGAATGGAAAAGCGCAACACCAATGACCAAAGGTCGCTATGGCATGCATATGGCCGTGTTAGATGACCGTTACATTTATGCAATTGGGGGTAGGGATGAACACCGTAGACCCGTTCCGTCAGTTGAACGTTACGACACAGAGACGGACACATGGTTCCAGCTACCATCTATACCCCTAGATAGAGACAATTTCTGGGATTTTCCAGTCGTTGAAGCCCATAAAGGCAAGATATATGTCACCGATCTATCAACGAAAGAATTGTGTCTAAATCCGGAACGAAACACATGGACAGAGCAAAGTTCATTCCATTATGGAAAATTACCGGAAAGGAAGTGCTTCCAGTACTGTGCATGGAACCGGAACGTGCTGGTCTTTGGTGGGTCGGGAAGTGAACGGACTATTAGCTCAACCGTCCCAGAAGCGTGTATTTATGACCGCGTTCATGGACTATGGAGTAGCATTCGACCTCCACCAGCATCGACATTGGGCTCATCTTGTGTCATACTCCAAGTTCCATACGAATTTCTTGGTGACTAGATGGGGTGCTGACAATATTTTAATTGGTAAGTTTATTTTAATACTCTTAACCATATTTTCTTGAAACGATTGGGTATGATTTTTTTTTTAGTTTCAGAGAAATGTGAATGATAAAGAGTGAGTCAGCTTCTGTTTCTTATTTTTTTTTTTTTTATGGATTTGATTTATCAACTTTTAGATTATTTATCTCAATTGATTAATATCCCACTAAGCCGCATTTGCTTTGTAACACAGTTTCTTTGGAGATGACTGATAATTTTTTTCAAAGGAACAGAGGGGTCCTATATTAATCCTTCTGTCGTAGAAAAATCCTGAGCTATTCATACCACGATTGGCTGTAATTGTTGATATACTGTATAACTTGACTTTGCAGAAAGCTACTATTATTCAGCTATTGATGCAAACAGTTGTTTTGACATTAATGCAAAACATTGCAATCTCTTATATTTTTTTCCAGAATATACACCCATACCACTTACTGTAAATCCTACAGGCTTCAAATCCCACCAGTGTAAAATCCTAGAGGATTTAAATCCCACAGGTTGTCGGGTGTTTTAATCCCAAATCCACTATTGGAATTTTAATGAGGACACAACCTAAGTATGATAGTACAAATGTCACTCCAAAAATTTTTTTCTCTGTTTTACTGTTATTTAAGCATCATCAGCTTGAGTAATACTTATACATACCTATAATACATTTTAACAATGATATATACTACAAGAATACCAGAAATCCTAATTTAATAATTTGTTTAAATATGGTATTGTCCACAATAATTTGAAAATTTGCTATTTTTACACCAGTCATAAACCAATTCCCAATTCTGAATTGATGTTATTGTCCAAATCCTATCAGTACATATGATAACATAAAATCAGAATTACGAATTAGATTAAAATAGCTCTAATCTGGTGCCTAATTATTAAATCTTTGCAGTTATTATATGGACAAAAGTACTAATTAAATTGTTATTAGCTTAATAAATATTGGTATAGACCAAGTACAATATACTCTACAGAATAAATAGTATTGTTACTGTATATGTTGTAACCTCAGTTGGTATCGTTTAAATCAAATTATATACGCAACATTCTCGTTGTTTCCGTTGCCATTTCCAATGTTACAGCACCACGTCAATGATTCATACTTTTAATGTGCAAATTCCTTATGATATTTTAAACTCTGGTTTGATGTAAAACAATGTTTTATTGTATTGAACGCATTCCAAAATGAAAACCAACTTCTGTTTGCGAATCTCTCGGTACTACTAGTGTCGACAACCGAGACCACATCAAAGGTTTTTGCAGACTAGAAATAAAAAAAAACAAAAAACCGCTAAGTGATTTTATTACATATTTCATCTAAATGAGACTGTGTCAAAATAAACTACATAATTGGCCGTGATCTACCATGGGAATATAGGTATTTCATCTGTTACATTATAATTCGCTTTTAGGACTTTAAGTGCTTGATATATAGTCAATTATCACTTGGCAATCATTAAACTTTGAAAATTTGCATAGAGTTTCATATTGAGCGTGCCATAAATTATTTTATAGCTTTATGCTATGATTCATTTGTAATGTTATATTGTACAAGTAGGTGCTATTTCAATTTGATTTTTTTTTAGTAACACTAATTAGTAATTTATAAATTATATTTAAATAATCTTACTTTGTTATATGTTTTTTTTTTAAATTGGTAATATTATAGTAGTTTGCATATTCAGATCTGTACAGTAAATTATTTTGTAGGGTCATGGTATAATTAATTTGTAATGTTATATTGTTCTATTGTAGGTGCTTATTTCAATTGGACTGTAATACTAATTATTAATTTATAAATTTTTAGTAATATTATGGTATCTAATTATATTTGTTTTTTATTTTTTAGTATTACTATGGTTGTTTTGATTACAGTAGTTGTTTATATTCCATAATTTAATTATGGTAGATTATCATTTTTGTGGGAGTGGTTGGTACAGTGGTTGCATTAATTGTTTGTGACAATATTGTTGATATAGTATTCACTCAGACATTTGTTATTTATAATTTAAAATAGAATAAACATAAAGTATAAATTAAAGAAATATGGATTTAAGTTATTATTCAACATTTGCCTATTTAATTTTTATCAAAACAGTGTTAGTACTGTAATACTCTGAAATGTTCCCATAGAGTTACGACAGACTATTTAATAGCTTTGCTGTGTACAAAAACTATACAGAAAAAAAATCTCTGACTATTAATCTACTGAAAAGAATTGAACATTTTGACTTGTCTGCGTATTTAGTACATTAATATCCCGACAAGAAGATGAATGGCCGCAGTCACCACTGCTTAGTCGACCACTTACTATCCAGTTTGATTTCAATGATATATTATCATCAGCATCAGATACATGGTTTTCCCAGTAATATTTGCATCATCACCGAGTGGAAACAACACACAGAGCCATTATATATTGTGATGATAGACTAACAGACTTGACCCGCATTACAAGTTAGTCCCGTGAAATATTACTGGCCATGTGCGACATACAGTACCACAGCCAGTCGTAGAGCCAAAAAAATCATGATTTTTACATTTCTTGGGCATTGAATTATGTATGAATGCTTTGAAAAATTCATTACATCTATTAACAGTCGCACAAATTATTTGTAAATTGTATTCAGTGCAATTTATTTACGAGCCCGCATTTATTTTCCATTTATTTCTTGTAGATGACATGCTTTAAAGTAGCAGGGCATCATCACTTGATTGTTCTGATTGTTGTATTGTGTTAATAAAAAGAATAATATTATTGATCGTTATACAGTAAATATGAGGGTCATGTAAATAAGAGTCACACTTGGTCTAATGTCCCAGTGAATGGAGTCCAGGCCAGTCTTGTGCTACGTATAGCGTTAGTCATATTTTGTGTTTACTTATAACAAATACTGTAGAGCCATCAACCCATTCTATTCAGTCCGTGGATGGACAGTAAGAATTACAATCATTTAATGGTACTACAATAGCCTTTGTTGTTATTAAGTCAGTAGTCATGATATCCGATATGTTAACCATGGTTTACAAAAAAAAAATCGCTGTATACAGCATTTTCTGCTCTGCAATCGTTAAACTAAAGTAGTTGGCCCTGATATAATTATAAAGTATCTTCTATTTTGTTGACAAATGAGCATGTCCAAAAGCTGTCGGTGGAAGCAACATATATGTGGATAGCAATTTTATGAAAGCCAGGTGTTAGGGCCTGTATTCAGTCCGCTTTTGCAGTACATGGTGACAACATGAAACCATACTCAAGAACAAGATCGAATGTGCTTCCAATTGCTTTCATACAGGTTGGAAACCTACCCTGACTTTTAGGCCTGGTATATTTTCTACTGTTTATGTTTTTCTTGATACCTGGCTAGCTGCCAAGTACACATATCATTCTAGACTTTGACCTTGATTGACAGTATCCCATAATCCCTCAATTATAGGCCAAGTATATCTTTTGACCCAAGGGTTTTAAAAATCTGGTAGTGTATAAAAAGTTTTAGCCTGTTATGAAATCAGCTCATATGTTTTAAACTCATTCCTGGGTATTAGCCAGTTGTTGTTTATTCGGTAATTCACAAATTCACGTTACATCTAATTGGAAATACCAGGATAACCCTTAAATTTTTTTTGTAGTGCAAAAAGTGGAAAACTCAAAAAAATATTCAACTTCAAAATTATAACGTAAAGGAGTATTCTTTTCCACTGGACAGGATGAATAATATTACCTGTATTCACAAACGCACCTTCAATTTTTTTCTTAATTGGGCTCTCCATTCCATCTGCTTTGCCAATCATGGTACTATTTGCAAAATAAACAGTCAACAAAGGAGAAAAGAAAAATACACAAACGTTGTATAGGTCATGTAGGGTTCAAATACATTTTTTTTTAAATGCCAACAGTTTTAGGTTTTAAATTATAAAAATGGTAAATTTTGTTTGTAGAAGATTGTAAAGTTATATGGGATATCTACTTTTCATATTTTATATTACGATGGCAGATCCAGGATGTCTTACTAGGAGGTTGAAGGGACAATCATTGGACCTACATGACAGTAGGGAGGGGTGGGGATGGGATTGGGATGCATGTTCCCTTACTTATTGTTGTGGGAGGGGGGGTGGCCCGCTACAGTATGTCTCTGGAATGTCTCTGGTATGCCAAAAATAAATTGGTAGCAAACAAGAAGCTTTTTTGCCTTACTTGTTTTCATAATAAAATTATAGGCCTACTATATTTTTTTATATTTGTTTTGCATAGGCTTTCTCCATATAATTGCACATTTTTTTTTATCAATACTTTAGACAAGAAACCTTTCTTAATTCATAATGTAGATAACCTTTTACAAGTATGTATTTGAAGAAAGGACTCGAGACTTAATATCATCAATCTAATGGGAAATGACACAAATTATGATCAATTGATTCAGATAATGTTACACATTAAGGATTCAGTCAGATAAACTTGGCATTCATCCTGAAAGGTATATAGCACAACTATACACTGTATTTGTTTTATGATTTTATGTGCTAAATTTGCCAAAAAAATAAACAGCTCAATATATAAAATTTCTGTTGTATTCATAAGTTTTTAACTCTGATAAAAAATCCTTGATTTGATTGTATTGAAGATTTATTATGTTTTTATCTTTCTAATGCGGTACAGATGATGATTTTATTAGAAAGAGATGCATGCTCGATAAAAAACATGTTTAAAGAGGAAGGGATGTTGTTTTAATGTAAATACCTCATAACTCATATGTAGGTTAAATTAAGGTTATTTGTAACAACTTGTTTCTTAACGCTGTTGTGCTGTTCTTTTTGTTGCTTCGTTGTTTATGTAGGCATATATTGAGCACAAGGACAAGTACCATTTTACAGCTCATTCTTTCTTCACCATTGACTGATTTATAATAGCTTAAAGGAACCTACAAATACAGCATATTGTAATTTTAAAAGCTTAGTAAATTTATAGGGACTACTGCTGT